CAAGTACTATCATACGTTACAAATATCAAGGACCATCTTCATTGTTGGAGCTTGTCACTGCCTCTAGTACAAAGAAGATCAAGCATTTTGAAATTTTGTAATCCGCTAGGCAGAGCCTCCAGCTGCTTGCAGTTAGAGACATCAAGGTTTTTGAGTCTGCGGAGCTCAGTTAATCGAGGAGGGAGCAAGCAGACAGAAGTGTTGCTTAGCTTCAAATCAGTCAGGCAGGATAGATCGGCGAGTGAAGCAGGGAGATGTGCGAGGGAAGAACAGTGTGAAAGGTTCAGCCGTCTCAATCTTGAAACCGCCCCGATCTCATTCGGGAGAGAAGACAGCTTTGGAGCGTAGATCTGAAGAGATGTCAGGTGCTGAAGAATTGTGATAGCTGCAGGCAGCTCGGTAAATCTGTCACTTGTTGAAATGATACTCAGCTGCCGTAACTCCTGCAAAGGTGAGCCATCAGATTGCAGCAGATTCGTCATGTTGTGAGCCCCCTTTACTGCCAAGATGTGGAGGCAAGAAAGACTAGTCAATGCGGAAGAAAACTTCTCCGCATCTTCTCCCAGCGTCAACTCCAAATGCTCCAGACCTGAGAGACTGGAACAAATTGTCAGGAGAGCTACTGCATCAACAACACCCAAGCGCAAATCCCTCAGTTCTGAAAGCATCGACATGTCAGGCAGTGGCACCATCTGATCATTTTTGTAGAATAGAGATTGGAGGCTGAGTGGCAGATACTGAGGGGCTTCGTCCAGCTGATCACATCTGCTTAGCTCCAACTGCCTCAGCCTGGTCTGGCTGTCAAACCTCCTAGGAAGCAAAAAGAGACTGGGACAGCTTTCAATCCTTAGCACTCGAAGGCCGACCAGTGCTGTCACTGATTCCGGAAGCTTCTTGAATTCTGAACAGTCCTGAATGTAGAGTTCTTGCAGGTTTGTCAGCTCCCCCATGCCCTCTGGAAGCTCACAAATCCTGCACTGATCCAGTTCCAGCCTGGTCAGGGAAACCAACTGCGTGAAAGAAGACGGCAAATGCTCTTCACAGTTTTTGTTGAGACGATTAGTATGAAGATTAGTCAGCCCTCCAATGTCGTCTGGAAGTGTCAGGTCCAGAAAGTTCAGGTCCGACTGGTCCAGGTACGGAAGGCCCAGCTCCGGAAGGTCCAGGGCCGGTGGCAATGCAAGGCTGAGAGTCTGGAGTGCTGTGAGGCAACCAAACCCTTCAGGTAAGTCAACAATATCCTCACACCCAAGCAGCAAAAAAGTCTCCAGAGATGAGAGTATGGTGAAGGAAGTAGGAAGATAGCGAAGGGGCAGCGTATCCAGCACCAAGGTCTTCAGAGCGGAAAGGTTTCCGAAGTTTGCAGGCAGAGAGAAGATGTTGCAAGAGGAAAGTGTCAGCTTCTCCAGGCAGGACAGAGAGGTGAATTGGTCCGTCAGATCGGTGAAGCATCTGCAGTAACAGATGCTGAGGTCTTGGAGGCAAGGCATCACCTCTCCAAAACTGTCTGGAAGGCTCTCTTGCTCGTTGCAGTTTTTAAGCTGTAGCCGTTTTAAGAACCTGTATGGAAATCTAAGAGGGAAGAAATTGCTGAACCTCGAATAGGAGAGACCGAATTTCAGTGAGTTGAGCGATGGTAACTGTGCGAGTGAGAAAGTAGGCGGAGTGTCTAAGATCAGGGTAGGCAAAGAGAGCCCGGTAAGGTTGGTGAGAAAGAGAAGGTTCGAAAGTTGGTGGTAGTGAAGGTTTGCAGTTTCTAAGGAAAGAGCAGTGAGAGATGTGAGGGAGTAAAATGCAGGAGCCTTGAGGAAAAAAGAATTGGACAGGACCAGGATGCGTATATTCCGAAGCTGGAAAAAAGAAGCTGGTGGATTCACGTTTCTCCAAACGCAATACAGCGACAGCTGCTCCAGATCCGGACAGCGACGGAAGAGATTATCCAAGCCAGGTTTGGTGATCAGGCTGTGCTTCTTTCTACCTTCGTCGTCTGCTGTCAGCATCAGCTTCCCCACGTACAACGCTCTCAGCCTCGGACACGCAGCAGCAAGGTCAACAAGGAAGGCGTTGTTCAAAATCTCCACGCTGCTGTCCGACAGGTGCAGATGGGTCAGATGCGGTAAACACGCAACAGCGCTGAGCACATCCTGGTGTGAAACAACACGATCTTCCTTGACGAGGAGAGACGACACGTGGCGCTGAGTGATTCGCCGCCAGCGCTGGCAGATGGATGCTAACAGGAGAGTGTAACCAGCTTCTGCAGAGGCAGGAGGGCTCGGCATAGGAGTGTCTCTTTGCCCGTAGAAAAGCTCTTCAGGCGTGGCGTTTCCATAAAAGTACTTGGGTCGAGGAAACACGAAGTTCCATAGATCATCGCTCTCGGATTTGTAAGAGGTTGTTTGCTCCGGAGGCCAGAAGATTCTAACGAGAACATCGTCAGGGAGATCGTGAATGTGAGTTGTTGCAGAGTCCATATGAGCCATGTGCACTCTCTGGGTGTCTCAAGAAACGAACTGGTAGTGATTTGAGGTGAAGCTAAAAAAATGGAAATCGCGACTGCGGTTTCCACTAGTACAGAATAGGCCTGATCGAACTGGTCAGCTGCAGTCCTTTCTACTAAATACCAACTGCCTATTTGTGCAAACCCGGACAGAGAGTCACCTTTCGATGCGATCTTCGCTTTTGAACTAGCCGTTACGTGGAACAGCACAAACGTGTGGTTCTCTGCTACAGAATGCATGCTCACTCACTACGCATGCGCTGCAGCTAGCATTGTCCTCGAGCTCTGCATTCACTTTCGACGCATGTGTTGGGACCTAGAGTAGAATAATGCTCTCACTCGGTTAGCTGATCCTCGGCACCTCAAAACTAGAGCGTATGGCTCTCACCCAGCGCGCGCGCTTCGAGCAACGGCTACTTTCGAGTTTTGCGAGAATAACTTGTACCTCCCCTGAAGCGTCACGCGTGACTTGACCGCAGCGCAGCTTTCAGTGTGATTGTCGGGATTTTAGTACACTACGTAAACTGCATGATGGTACGCAAGGTCAATAAATCCGATTACGGCCAGTAATTAAAACCTAGACTCAGCCGATCAAGTCGGAGTGGAGTCGAGCTGGTCAATACTATGCGAATCCCAAGAACTCCAGCTTTTTGCTGAGGGGAGGAGGTTCGATGGATCGCCCCCGGACCGGAATCGCAATCTTATGTGGTTTAACGCGTGCCAGTAGGGTGCAGTGCGGTAATGAAGTTTGACTTGAGTGTAGTTTTCGTGTCAGATGCTACACATGATGCCCAACCCCTGCACGCGAATTTGCCCTGCACCGGATGGAAACCTTGCACCCGAGGTTTTTTCCCCAGCCAGTTGCACGCACGTTACAAGCACGTCGCGCAAGTTGCAGTGGTTCTGAACCAATAATAACGAGCGGACCGAAGTCAAACTGAAGAGACTGAAGTCAAAATGTCAACGGATAAGTTACAAACAAAATTATAAGCACCTGACGAATCCTTTTTTGCTTGCTGCGAATTGACGAAACTTATGCGAAATGCACGTGACAGCTTATGCGCCCCCTTCACAAGGCAACCGGGAGTGGCTCAAACGGGCATCATGTGTATAATTTGGCACACGAATTCTGACCAGGCGTGTCGAAGTTCCTGGGGCCCATACTTGGAGTCCCCAGCTCCTCCCTATCTGACCCTGTTTTGGCCGTAGCTGAGTGTTTTGGCGCCCTTAAAGCTCGCGTCTCATATTTCTACTATCCAACCAAGTGTTAAACGGTTGGAATTTGGTAACAGCAAAGTTTGTCGCAAAGCACACCAAAGCAAGGGGTGGTTTGGGAAAGTTGGCTGTCGCACACTTCCCGTGCACACCAAGCGTTTACAACTTCCAAAAATATGAGACTCTGAAACTCAACATTGACAGAAGGGGGGACCGAACCTGTCCCCCTTGGCTCGTTTTCCACCCAAACCAATCCACCCTGGTTTGTTTTGGCCTCGACTGTTTTGGTAGTTCGCTGTGATTTTTTCACCCACTCGTCAAATATTTCGTTTTCGTTACCCAATCACAGTCGGGCAAACCCAACCAAGTGTTATACGGTTGGAAATATGAGACGCGAGCTTTAACGGTCACGGGCGCAGGCCAAAGTGAAAACTTGATATCCGGGCTTGCACTTGCACTATCTTAGCTAAGGGAAAGTTTTGCTGCTCCAAAGCTGACTTAGAGACATCACAAACACGGGATTGGCTAGAAAATGCTAAGGGAAAAATCCCCTTGGCGCGCTCTCGTGCAACCTAAGGAGAAAGGGGGGGGGGAGTGGGGGGGTCTGGCAGAATTTCTTGGGGGGGGGGGTCCTAGAACCGGAAATCAAAACTTTGTGGGTGGGGAAGGCCTGGTTGGAGCACTTAACGCATCCGGGGAAGGGTCGAACGAAGCACTTAGTGGCACGGGTGCAGGGCGATCCTAACACTTTATGCAGTCGAGCTGGAGCAAAAGTAGCCCGGAATTTCAGGGTTTAGGGTTTAGGGTTTAGGCCTGATTCTGACACCCGAGTTTCTGGCACACGAATTCTGACACCTTGTCAGAATCTATCATTTGGCGCCATTCGTGTGTATCGATCTTCCCGAAACATACAGACTCGAGCAGAGACAACTACTAGCTCTTGGCTCCTAAACGAAACTTCATCACTTTCGCGTGACAATACTTTCAAGAACCAATCAACCTATCAATCCATCAGGAGCCGCCGATTCTCATCAGTGTACAGTCACCTGCAGTTAAAAGCAGGGCCGTTTAACCCGTCAGGGCCGTTTAACCCGTCCGTTTCGCGTCACGACCCTTAGAAAGGCAGCGGTCGGATTGATCACTAATGTCGGAGCAGCATCAGCCGCTCATGGCGGGTCCAGTGGTTCTCGTCACGGGTTGCTCCTCCGGCGGAATCGGATCGGAGCTTTGCAAGGCTTTCGCCGCTCGAGGCTGCCGCGTGTTCGCCTCTGCTCGCCGACCCGACTCCATGCAGGACCTAGCAGGTAGGTAACAGGCGAGTCACTCTTGAGAAAAGGAAAATCTCAAAAGCGATCCAGACACGCGAGCCGCTGAGGCAAAGACACGTGAGGACCTTTCCCCTCTTTTGCTCTTTCCTTCGTCCCTCTTATTGTTGGTCCTTCTTCTTCTCCTCTTCTTCTCTCTTCTCCCCTCCGCCCCTCGTCTCTTCCTTTGCAGGGTTGGGAATTGAGACGGTGCAATTAGATGTGACTTCCACAGCCTCTATTCAAGAAGCCGTCAGCACAATCATTTCTAAGGTGACCTTTGATATGTGCTTTGCAAAGGTGACGATTGGCCTGTGTCCTGCCGAGGTGAGATTTGATACCACGCCTCTGCTGCCTCCATTCAGCAAGCCGTTAGCACGGGTCAGATCCAAAGTAACATTTGTATTCTGGTTGAACGTTTGATTTAGATACCATGGTGCAGGCGTGAGATACCATGCCTGCTGCTGCCTCCAAGGAGAATCCGAATCAACCCAAATGGACAATCAGAGGTTACATGGTCAAGGTGACATGTCGACAGGGATACAGTTATACTCTATCCCAACGGGTCAACTTGGCAATGGCGGCACAGACAGTTGTGCCTGAATGCCTCCTTCGCCTCTCAGAACCATCTTCCATTCTGCCTGCCCAAGCTGTCACTGAAGTCATTTTGCATGCTGCTTTTCGCCGTCGCACCCGTGCCGGCAGATCAAACGTATACATTCTGATGACAATGCAGGCGCGGGGTGCTTTGGCCCCATGGCGGAGATGCCTCTTGATGCATCTCTTGCCCTGCCTACTAGTCACCATCCCTCGTGCTTCCTCCCTTGCTCACTGGCACACCTCCCTTGCTCACCTGTGCAGGCGGGCAGGGTAGACACTCTGGTGAACAATGCAGGGGCGGGGTGCTTTGGCTTGGTCCCATGGCGGAGATGCCTCAACACAGCAGCTGCTCTGTCTTCTCATTATACCCAGCTGTAGTACCCCTCGTGCTCCTTACCTTGCTCACCTGTGCAGGCGGGCAGAATAGACATTCTGGTGAACAATGCGGGCGCGGGCTGCTTCGGTCCCATGGCAGAGATGCCTCTGGATGCCTGAACACACCAATTTTCCACATTGCTTTCCCTGTCTCATCTCACCTGTGCAGGCGGGCAGAATAGACATCCTGGTCAACAATGCGGGCGCAGGGGGAGATGCCTCTGGATGCCCCAACATGCCGTTTGTCCACGCTGGTTTTCCCTGTTTCACCTGTGCAGGCCGGCAGAATAGACATTCTGGTGAACAACTCGGGGGCGGGCTGTTTCGGCCCCATGGCGGAGATGCCTCTTGATTCGTTCCGCAGCAACATGGAGACCAACGTGATTGGCCTGCTCGCTGTCACTCAGGCAGTAGTGCCTCATATGGTGGAACAGGTGCGGTGAGTGCTTGGTGGGGCCAGGTGCTTGTGCTGTGCTTTGGCCCCATGGCGGAGATGCCTCTGGATGCCTTCCGCAGCAACATGGAGACCAACGTGCTTGGCCTGCTGGCCGTCACCCAAGCGGTTGTTCCCCACATGTTGGAACAAATACAGTGAATGGGACTGGTGGTGGCGCGGGGTGCTTGTGCTTTGCCCCCATGGCGGAGATGCCTCCAGCAACATGGAGACCAACGTGGTTGGCCTGCTCGCTGTCACTCAAGCGGTGGTGCCTCACATGGTGGAACAGGTAGGGTGAATGTGGCTAAGAAGAGTGTGGGTGCATTCCGCAGCAGCATGGAGACCAACGTGGTGGGCCTGCTGGCCGTCACTCAAGCAGTGGTGCCTCACATGGTGGAGCAGGTGTGTGTGATGGTAGTAGGTGGGTAGGGAGGCAGGCTGTTTTGCCCCCATGGCAGAGATGCCTCTTGACTCGTTCCGCAGCAGCATGGAGACCAACGTGGTGGGCCTGCTGGCCGTCACTCAAGCAGTGGTGCCTCACATGGTGGAGCAGGTGTGTGTGATGGTAGTAGGTGGGTAGGGAGGCAGGCTGTTTTGCCCCCATGGCAGAGATGCCTCTTGACTCGTTCCGCAGCAACATGGAGACCAACGTGGTGGGCCTGCTGGCCGTCACTCAAGCCGTCGTCCCCCACATGGTGGAGCAGGTAGGGTGAAAGTGACTGGTGGTTGGGGGGGGGTGCTTGCTCCTGCTTCGCCCCAATGACAGAGATGCCTCAGGATGCGTTCCGCAGCAACATGAAGGCCAACGTGGGTCGGTGTCAGCATGGGTCACCACGCCCTTTGCTCCACCTGAGCTTTCCGCTCCTCCTTCTATCCCTCCCATTTTAATCAGCAGGGAAGCGGCAAGTCGTGAACATAGGGTCGGTGTCAGCATGGGTCACCACGCCCTTTTTCTCCGCCTGAGCTTTAAATTTTAACCTCTTTTCCTCCCTCCCCTCGCTTGGATTTGCAGGGAAGTGGCAAGGTCGTGAACATAGGGCCGGTGTCAGCATGGGTCACCACGCCCTTTGCCGGCACATACTGTGCGGCCAAGGCAGGCAGGCAGGCAGCAGCTCACAGCATCACTCCCTTGCCTCCCTCCCTTCTCCTTCTGCTTCCCCATCTGCTCATAAACCCTCAGGGCAGTGGCAAGGTCGTGAACATAGGGTCGGTGTCAGCATGGATCACCACGCCGTTTGCCGGCACATACTGTGCCGCCAAGGCAGCAGTGCACAGCATCTCTCACGCGCTCAGAATGGAGCTGAAGCCGTTTGGAATTCAAGTCATGCTCGTTGCGCCGGGTGCAATCAGGTAGGGAAGGGTTGTTACTGATGTTAGGGTTTCGAAAGAGCACCTACTGTGCGGCCAAGGCAGCAGTGCACAGCATCACCCATGCGCTCAGAATGGAGTTGAAATCCTTCGGCATTCAAGTCATGCTCGTTGCTCCTGGCGCCATCAGGTGGGTTAGATGGCTTATAAAGAGCACCTACCGTGCGACCAAGGCAGCAATTGCCTTTTCCACAGCCAAGGCAGCAGTGCACAGCATCACTCATGCCCGTTGGATGGAGCTGAAACCGTTTGGTATCCAAGCCATGCTCGTTGCTCCTTGTGCCTTCAGGTGCGAAAGTGCTATTGAATTGACTTTGAAACAGCACGGTTGTGTGGCCAAAGCAGCCATCCATTCCCCTCCGACTTTTGAGATGTCTCAAAATTCCCTCCGACGGTTTAGGTAGCAGTGCACAGCATCACTCACGCATTCCAAATGGAACTGAAGCCGTTTTGTATTCAGTATTATTCTCTCTCTCTCATTATTCTCTCCCCGACACAAGTGGGACACAAGTGGCCCGTTTGGCTCAGGGGTCAACACAAGCATCTCTCTCTCCCCATTCCTTGTTCTCCTGTCCCTTCCTGTCCTGAGGTGGCTTTTGAGTCGACTCAAAGGTCAGCATTCCTTGTCCTCCTGTCCCCTCCTGTCCCCTCCTGTCCTTTCCTGTCCCCTCCTGTCCCCTCCTGTCCTTTCCTGTCCCCTCCTGTCCCCTCCTGTCCCCTCCTGTCCTTTCCTGTCCAAGCCCATCCCTTCCATGCCATCCTCCTCACCTCCTCCACACCACCATCCCAGGTCCACATTTGGTGGCAACTCCTCCTCCTCCGCCTCCCACCTGCGTCTGAACATTTTTTCCCGCTTTCAGCAGCAGATAGAGGTTACATGCAGAGTCGACTCAAAAGTCACGTTGCACGCATGCTCGCATGCATTCTCTTCTCCGTCACCCTGGTGTCCGTCCCACCCTCTTCTATCCATTTCCTTCCGATTCCAACCCTTCCCCCCCTCTCTCCACACACCACCGTCCCAGGTCCAACGTTGGTGGCAACTCCTCCTCCTCCATCTCCCACCTACGTCTCAGGGTCTTCTCCCGCTTTCAGCAGCAGATAGAGGTTACATGCATTTCCTTCACCTTGCTGCCCCTCTGTTCCCCTCGCCTCCCCTCCCCTCTCCTCCTTCACACCACCATCCCAGGTCCAACTTTGGTGGCAACTCTTCCTCCTCCGTCTCCCACCTACGTCTCAAGATCTTCTCCCGCTTCCAGCAGCAGATAGAGGCCAGGGCAGGGGCGTCCCAGACGCCCCAGTCCACACCAGGAGACGTGTTTGCGAGGGCTCTAGTGGAGGTGAGGGTGGTGAGGGTGCTCCTGGGATGGTCTGTGTGTGTATGTGTGCGTGTGCTACATGCATATGTCTGTGCATGTGCTTCCAGTAGCAGATAAAGGCCCGCGGAAGGGGGGGGGGGGGCTCACAAAGGCCCGGGCGGGGGGGGGGAACTCACAAAGGCCCGGGCGGGGGCTTCACGAAAGCCCCTGTCCACGCAAGGAGACGTGTTTGCTTTTGAGTCGACTCAAAAGTCACCCCGGGCGGGGGCTTCACGAAGGCCCCTGTCCTGTCCACGCAAGGAGACGTGTTTGCGAGGTGAGGGTGGTGGTGAGGGTGGTTTGGGCATGGTTTGTGTATGCATATGTCTGTGCATGTGCTTCCAGTAGCAGATAAAGGCCCGCGCGGGGGCTCACAAAGGCCCCAGTCCACACCAGGAGACGTGTTTGCGAGGGCTCTCTCTAGTGGAGGTGAGATTGGGCGTTTGGGCACCTGGTGGGGTCATTCCGTGTCTTGACATGGCTGCCTTACAGCTTCCACATACTACATCCTGTGCCTCTGTCCTCTCCCCCATTCCTCTCCCCCACTCTCCTCAACACCCTCCCCCACTATCAGAAAGCCATGGCCAGGAGGGTGCCGATATAGCGGGCATTTGGACATTTGGTGGGCTCATTCCGTATCTTGACCTTTCTCCCTCCCTTCCTTCCCCTCCCGCCTTTTCCCTTTCCCTCATCACCTTCCTCTCCCTGCTCTCCACCTTCCCAACGCCAGAAAGCCTTGGCCAAGAGGGTGCCAATAGAGTGGGCGTTTGGACATCTGGTGGGCTCATTCCGTGTCATGACATGTCTCCCTCCCCTTCCTTCCCCTCCCGCCTTTTCCCTTTCCTCCCTCACCTTCCTCTCCCTGCTCTCCACTTTCCCAACGCCAGAAAGCTTTGGCCAAGAGGGTGCCAATAGAGTGGGCGTTTGGACATCTGGTGGGGTCTTTCCGTGTCATGACATGGCTGCCTTACAGCTTCAGGGATTCTGCACTCATGAAGAAATTCGGACTCACTAAGTAGGTTGCTTTTGTTGTAGGAGAATCGAAACACTAGTACCGCGCCTTCCCTGTGTTTGATTCCCTGCTTTCTAATGTGGCTGTCTATAAAAATTGCTCGTCTAATGCAATTGGTTTCTGGTTTAGGAGAAATTTGGCCGATGGCACTTTAGAAATACAGGTATCTGCAGAGAATCTTGACGCAAGCCTCCGGGTGAAGGTTTTGGTTTCAGGGTGCCATTATTTGGGTGAAACCGTTACCTAAAGACATAATAATAAAATAGCACCTAACCTTCATTTCTTTCATGATGGATTCAGTCTTTTGCTTGTGTGGTAACTCGAGGAGTTTCGTCAATCGGACTTGTCAAACCACCGTTTCCCAGCAGCCAGCAAAAAGGGTCTGTCTAAGAATTTCGCTGGATCCTGAAACTTTGGTTGACTTCCCGAAGCGCTCGCTTTATTATGTCGGTGTCATGATGAGCGACCTTACCCATGTCGTACACTGCACTCCAAATTCTGTAACCTGGCTTCGCCAGACCGTGACTTCTTCTCGCCTTTGCTCCGGTTCCCGTCGCGCACACCGTTGTCGAAGTCTGCAACTTGGGCTCACCCAAGCTTCAACCGCCTCACTCACGGCAATCGAAGTCCGTAACCTAGTTCGCCGGCGTCGCAGTATACGGCTCGCAGCGCACTGATACAAGCCGAGTTGCGGATAAGCAGATTGGAAGCATAAATTGGAACACAATTTCTCCTTCTGTTCGTCGTCTCGTACTCAGCGCACCTCGCGCCATCAAGCCTGCCGGCCCGCCGTGGTCTTCTCGCTAAACCCACTCCGCCTACTAAAACCGCACATGGCCGCAACGCCACCATTAGCACCGCTCCAGTGACTCCGAGGGTCGTCGGCGCTGCGAAAAATAACTCCCACTCAGGCGATTCGACGACGCCTGCCAATAACACGTCAAGTATTTCAAACACTTCCGCCTCAACTCTCCCTCCCCGTGCTCCTGCTCATGATGTCGACTATATTGGCGCGGCAGGGGACGACGCGCCCTTGAAGGGCGTGGGCGCGGGCGCCGAGGGAAAGGGCGCGGGGGAAAAGGGCGCAACAGGGAAGGGCGCAACGGGCAAGGGCGCAACGGGCAAGGGCGCAACGGGCAAGGGCGCAACGGGCAAGGGCGCAACGGGCAAGGGCGCAACAGGCAAGGGCGCAACGGGCAAGGGCGCTGAAGGCAAGGGCGGAGCGGGAGCTACCGCAGCGGGTAAAGTCGCGCCGGGCAAGGACGCGGCAGGCAAGGGCTCGGAAGGCAAGGGCGCGGAAGGCAAGGGCGCAACGGACGCTGGCGAAGCGGGCAAGGGTGCGGCAGGCAAGGGCGTGGCTAAGGTCGCAAAGAAAAATGTGAGGGTCGCACCGAACAAGGTCGCAGCCAAGGGCGCGGCGGGAATGGTCGCACCGAACAAGGGCGCGGTGGACAATCATGGTGCAGCAGACAAGGGCGCGGCTAAGAATGACGCACCGAAGAAAAAGTTCGCGGCCATTCCAATGGTAGCACCGAACAAGGGCGCGGGTAACAACGGCGCACCGACGAAGGTCGCAGCCAAGGGCGAGGCGGGAATGGTCGTACCGAACAAGGGCGCGGCGTCGACGAGCAAGGGTGCGGAGAACAAGGGCCCGGCAGGCAAGGGCGCGTCAGCCAAGGGAGCGGCCGGCAAGGGCGCGACGGGCAAGGGCGGGGCAAACACGGACGCGGCTGGCAAGGGCGCGGCGGGAAAGTTCGTGCCGAGCGAGGCGAACAAGGGCGCAGCAGGCAAAGGCCCGGCGAACAAGCCCGTGGCAGGCAAGGGCGCGGCGAAGATGGGCGCGGCGGGAAAGAGCGCGGCGAAGATGGGCGCGGCGGGAAAGAGCGCGGCTGAAATGGGCGCGGCGCGCAACGAGGGGTCATCCCACGTGGGAAATGCGCAGCCAGGTGCGGGCGCCGCGACTGCGCGTCACATCAACAACAACCAGCCCGCTGCGATGATGGGCGCGGCGAGCAACTTGAACAGGCCCAACACGAACACACCCGGCGTGGCGCCTCACATGGCGACGGCCGAGGACGTGGCGATCGTTCCCCAGGCGCCGGCGCCGGCGCCTGCGAGTCACAGCGCCGCGAATCCGCCTGTTGCTGCGATGATGGGAGCGAGCAACAAACCCGCACATCCTCACATGGCGACGGCCGAGGATGTGACGATTCACGGTGGCGGTAAGACGGCATCAGGCAACGCGGCACTTGCCCCGTCAAACGCACAATCGCCGCGCCAACACGGCGCGCGCCCTCACATGGCAACGGCGGAAGATGTGGCGATCGTTCCCCAGGCGCCGGCAGCGGAGGAGGACGAGGTGATGCAGGCAGAGGCGTGGAGGAATGCGGTTGCTGACGATAACGATGAAGATGATGAGAAGGACGGCAGCGATGAGAACGGTGATGATAGTGATAATGACAAGGACGATATCAGTGAGAATGACGACGACAAGAATGAGAAGGACGATGGCAAGGACGATGAGAAGAATGATGAGAAGGACGATGATGAGAAGAACGATGAGAAGAATGGCAGCGATGGCAATGGCGATGATCATGGCAAGGAGAACGATGAGAAGGATGATCATGGCAAGGACAGGGACAATGGCAAGGGCAACAAGAGCGACAATGACAGGGACAATGAGAGTGACAGTGAAGATGAGAAGGACAATGACAACGATGCAGTCGGCTGGCACTGGGGTGAGAGCAGCAGCCAAGGTCAGGGAAGGGGCAGGACTCGTGCCATGAACGGAGCATCATCTGGCGTGTCTCGCTTCTCTCGCTTCAGCAACAACAACGGTTGGGAGCTTGAGGACAATCAGCGCACTGAGTTTCGCATGGCGACACGCGGCGATGTGGCCATTCACAGGAGCGGGACTCAGGGCACAGTCAAGGGCGCACCTTCCCGCTTGGCTCGCTTCAGCAACAACAACAATGGCTGGGAGCTTGAGGACAAACAGCGCACTGGGTTTCACAAGGCACAGCAGTTTCGCATGGCGACACGCAGCGATGTGGCCATTCACAGGAGCGGGATGCAAGGTGCGAAGCGTGGTGTGAGCCATGGGAGTGGGCTCGGCAGGGCACAGCAGTTTCGCATGGCGACAAGCAATGATGTGCTAATTCACAGGAGCGGGGCTCAAGGCACGAACCGTGGTGTAAGCCATGGGAGTGGGCTCAACGGGGCACAGCAGTTTCGCATGGCAACGAGCAGCGATGTGGCCATTCACAGGAGCGAGATGCAAGGTGCGAACCGTGCTGCAAACCATGAGAGTGGGCTCAACGGGGCACAGCCGTTTCGCATGGCGACAAGCAGCGATGTGGCCATTCACAGGAGCGGGATGCAAGGCGCTAACCATGATGTGAACCATCGGAGTGGGCACAACAGGGCACAGCAGTTTCGCATGGCGACAAGCAGCGATGTGGCCATTCACAGGAGTGGGGCTCAAGGTGACTTTTGAGTCGACTCAAAAGTCACCTCATTCACAGGAGCAGGGCTCAAGGCGCATACCGCGGTCTGGAGGAGTATGGGAGTGAGCAGCTGGGTTCTCTTGCATCTATGCAAGCCGACGATGGAGATTACCATGGTGAGTACTACAGTGGTGATTCTGCAGGTGGTGGCTATGGTAGGTGGTGATTGGTGACTGCAACGGCGAAGGGGGCAGCGGTGGTGAGGTGACTGTGACGATTCTGGAAGTTCACACGCAGTGCTTGGGGTAGGAGCAACACAAATAGTTTATACTTGTGTATATGCGTGGGCACTGTTTTGGAACATTTCGTCCTGCTCATCTTGCAAATGCAAAGCTGCAACAAACAGAATGAAGAATGCAAGGAGCAGTAATATACAGGCACTAAAAAGTGGGACGGATACTTAGGTGATTCCCATTGGAAGTTGGAAGTGTTCCTGTTTTCTTTGAATATATCTAATCAGAAACTGACCCCTGTTTTGTGAGCTGTATGGCGCGGCACATCGCATTACTGTACGGTTAAGTGCGGTGAGAGATCTACACGCTTTCTGTGCTTTCCTTCTCGCTGTTATGTAGTTTTCAACATCTCAGTTTCTCGGCGATCATTTCAGTCCCGGCGGATCCTAGCCTAGAGGCTGCCGATTTCACGACTGCGCCAGAAGCAGGCAGCGAGGAAGCAGTAGTTTTTCGGGACCTGGAGCACGTACCTTAGCGAGGAACTAATTTCGCGAGGAGTTACTTTCGCGGAACTAGTTCGTCGCAACGTAGTCCGCAGTACGATTTTCTTTTCGAGTAACCACTCGATTCGTTTCAGCGAGTAGTGCTTCGAGAAGCTAAGTTTCTCCGCCATGGATCGCGAATGGGGGAGCAAGCCCGGAAGCGGCGGCGCCGCGTCCGCGCAGAGCGAGGCGATCGACCGGCGAGAGCGGCTGCGACGGCTGGCTCTCGAAACCATCGACCTCGCGAAGGATCCGTACTTCATGCGGAACCATCTCGGAAGGTTCATCCCTTTTCCATCTCGCTTCTGCATCTCGTTCTAGGGCAAAAATAGGTTCCTCTATGGTTCGTCGTGTGACGGTCTAAGTGTAGGAAGGAAGGATTCGTGCCTGATTTTTCTTCTGAGGCGACTCGAAAGTCGCCTGCCTGGTGTGTGTTTCGAGTCGACGTTACAGTCGCAGCGTCCGCGCAGAGCGAGGCGATCGACCGCCGAGAGCGGTATGACTTTTGAGTCGACTCAAAAGAGAGCGGCTGCGACGACTCGCTCTCGAAACCATCGACCTCGCGAAGGATCCCTATTTCATGCGGAATCACCTCGGAAGGTTCGTCTTCAGACCATTTAGATAAGAAACCTTTCTACTGACTGAAGGATCAGCCGAGAGTCCGTAATGTTTTGTTTTGAGAAGATGGAGACCCAAGTAGGAGCCATTGACTTTGCGTGGCGGCAGTTGGTTTGCCAATCCCGACCCCCACCGGCAGTTGGTTGCTTAGTAAAGCGTGTGTTAGTAGGCAGCCGAGGGTCCTCAATGGCTTGTGTTGAGAAGATCGATCCGAAAATTGGAGGTATTTTCCGGAACCGTTTCGAAAAGTGTTCCGGATTTAGGTTTTGGGAGTTTCGTTTTGAGGCGCATCAACTTGCGGTGGACTCGTATTTCCGGCGGAACGGTCTTGGAAGGTTCGATGCCGCGGGGTTGTGCCCCAAGGAGGCTCGATGGAAGCTTCCTCCGTTCCTGTCCTCCTCCCTCCTCCTTTCCTGCTCCTTTCCTCTCCTTCCTCCTTCCTTTCCTTTCTCCTCCTTCACTTGCCCTCTTTCGTCTGCCCTTCTTGCTCCACCTATAGTTATGAGTGCAAGCTGTGTCTGACTCTCCACAACAATGAGGGCAACTATCTCGCTCACACGCAGGGCAAGCCTTTTCTCCCCTTTCCCCCTGCGCTTCCCCTCCCCTCCCCTTTCACTTCCCTTCCCCTGTGCTTCATCTCGTGACAGCTACGAGTGCAAGCTGTGTCTGACGCTTCACAGCAACGAGGGCAACTACCTCGCTCACACACAGGGCAAGCGCCACCAGCAGAATCTGGCCAAACCTCCACACGCCCTCCCTTCCCCTCCCTTCCTGGCCTGTAATCCCCACCCCTACCAACAGCTACGAGTGCAAGCTGTGTTTGACGCTTCACAACAACGAGGGCAACTACCTCGCTCACACGCAGGGCAAGCGCCACCAGCAGAATCTGGCGAAGCGAGCAGCCAAGGAGGCACAGGAAGCACCGGCGCTGCCCCAACCCGCCCGGCCCCGAGTGAACCCACGGAAGACAGGTGAGAGAGAGCATAGGTAATTCAGTGATGAGGTAGTGTGAGAGCAAGTGGGTGGCTACAGGGCAAGCGCCACCAGCCGAATCTGGCCAAGCGCGCAGCCAAGGAGGCACAGGAGGCACCGGCGCTGCCCCAACCTGCCCGACCCAGACTGAACCCACGGAAGACAGGTGAGAGAGCTTGAAAGGCAGGGGTTGGGTGAGTGGGAGAGTGAATGAGTGAGAGTTTGCAAGAATCTGGCCAAGCACGCTGCCAAGGAGGTACAGGAGGTACAGGAGGTACAGGAGGTACCAGAACCGCCCCAACCTGCTCGGCCCAGAGAGAACCCACGGAAGACAGGTGAGAGAGAGGGACCCTGAAAGGCAGGTGAGGAAGTGGGTCAATCAGTGATGAGATAGTGTGAGTGGGTGAGAGCTTGCAAGCGGCACCAGCAGAATCTGGCCAAGCGCGCAGCCAAGGAGGCTCAGGAGGCACCGGCGCTGCCCCAACCTGCCCGACCCAGAGTGAACCCACGGAAGATAGGTGTGTGTGACAGAGAGAGTTCAGAAGGGAGAAAGTGGGTGTGTGAGTGCTTGCCAAGCCAAGCGAGCAGCCAAGGAGGCTCAGGAGGCACCGGCGCTGCCCCAGCCGGCTCGGCCCCGAGTGAACTTGCGAAAGACAGGTGAGAGCGTGGGTCAGTGGGCGAGAGAGAACCCGGGGAGGGAGTGAGTGAGTGCTTGCAAGGCCAAGCGCTCAGCCAATAAAGGGAGAGGGAGGGAGGGTGAGGAATGGAGGAGGCCGGGTGAGTGAGTGCTTGCAAGCGGCACGATACAATAAAATACGATGTGATACTCTACAATCTGTCGTACCATGCCGTGCCATACCTTACCATACCACACCGTACTTTGCCCCTTGCCTTGCCATGCCTGGTGTGTTGTGCAGTGAAGATCGATCGACCTGGTTACTGTGTTACTAAGCAGTTCGACCCTGGCACACTCTGCCACACCATGCCATATTATAACATACCTCACTGTACTATTCCCCCTGCCTTGCCTTGCCGTCTTTTGCAGTGAAGATTGGTCGACCTGGTTACCGTGTTACCAAGCAGTTCGACCCTGAGACGCACCAACGATCGCTGCTCTTCCAGGTGTGTACTTCTCCCTCCGTCTCCCTTGTATGTGTGGGGGGGCGGGGAGGAGGGAAGATGGGGGGCAGGTGGATGGATGCGTGCGTGCGTGTGTTTATCCTTCCGTCTCCCCTGTGTTTGGGGGGGAGGGGAAAAGGCGGGGGGGGGGGGGGGGGAGCGGGTGGATGGGCGTGTGCGTGCATGCGTGCATGTGTGCATGTCTGTCTCTCCCCGCGATTCCTCTGTGTAAGTGAGTGTGTTTGTGTTTGTCTGTCTCTCTCTGGATGTGACTACCTCTCTGCCCTCAACTGCCACTTTTTTCCATGTTCCTGCCACTTCCCCACCTATGCGTTCCTCTTACATATCTTCATAATTTGTTTATGCTCCTCCTAATTTATTTCTGCTTTCTTCACAATCAGTCAGTCCCGCCCTCTCCCCTCCACCCCCTCCTTCCCTCCACCCTCCCTTATATTCGCACCCACAAGCACTCAACCGTTGCATACAACAATCCGTGTTTCACATTCACACTCACTCATTCCTGCCCCACAAACCCCCATCCCTCCCCCCTTCTCTCTCTCCCCTCCGCCTTGACATACAGATCGAGTACCCAGAGATAGAGGACGGGGTGAAGCCACGCCACCGCTTCATGTCTTCCTATGAGCAGGTACGTGTACGGTGTTGTGTGGTGTTGTGTGGTGTTGTGTGGTGTTGTGTGGTGTTGTGTGGTGTTCAGATGCGTGGTGCTGTGATGTGTGGAGCTGAGACGTGACTTGTGAGAATTCGCAATAGAGGACGGGGTGAAGCCACGCCACCAATTCATGCCCTCCTATGAGCAGGTGAGTGGTCTTGTGTTGTGTATGGTGTGATGTGCATGTTGTCATGTGGTGTTGAGATGTGCATGTTCTGGTGTGCCTTTGTGAGGGTGCTTGGTTGAGGACGGGGTGAAGCCACGCCACCAATTCATGCCCTCCTATGAGCAGGTGAGTGTGTGTGTTTGTGTTGTGGTGTGGTGTGCCGTTGTGCTGTGTGGTGCTGTGGTGTGTGGTGTTTTGATTGATGTGCATGTTGTGATGTGCCTATGTGCCTTTGCTTCTCCCCTTTTCCCGCTTTCCCAGTTCCCAGTTCCCAGTAATCCTCATTTTCCTCCTTTTCTCCATGGCCCCCCCCACCCCACCCCTCCCCCTTCATCCTCCCCATCCTCCCCATCCGCCATCCCCCCCAGCAATTCCCCCTCCCAGTGAGTCGAGTCGAGGGACAAGAGCGTTAAACACCATCATCTCGCCTCTGTTTCCCCCCCCTCTCCATCCTCCCCCATCCTCCCTCAATCCCCACTTCATTGCAGCGAGTTGAGTCATGGGACAAGAGCTTTCAGTACCTGTTGTTTGCAGCAGAGCCGTACGAAATCATATCTTTCAAGGTACGAAATCATATAATATCTTTGAGAGTACGAAAGGACGATCCTAGATTTGAAGTTACAATTTCATAATTCCGAGGGTACGAAATATTTTATTTGAAGATACCCATGAACCAACGTCTCTCCCAACTCTCTTTCGGCATTCACTCCTCCCCTTGTGTTTGATTTTACCAAAAAAAAAAAATTTATATCCTTTCCTGCTTCTTATGAGTTTGCAAAACTTGCCTTCTCCCCTCTTCTAACTCCTACAGCTATCCATCCCTGCCCCTTCCCCCCTGCGCTTTCCCTTCTCACATCAGATCCCCAGCACAGAAATCGACAAGACCCCATCCAAGTTCTTCTCGCACTGGAACCCTGACACCAAGACGTTCACAGTAAGTAAAGCTATCACTGTGTGTGCATACTAGCACATTATTCCACGTGCACCTCACCTCCCTCCCTTCCAAGTTCTTCTCGCACTGGAACCCTGACACAAAGACCTTCACTGTAAGCAACACATTGATCGTAGCTGAGAGGCCTCCTTACATGCACCTCACCTCCCTGCCATCCAAGTTCTTCTCGCACTGGAACCCTGATACCAAGACGTTCACAGTAAGTGACACGCCATCTTGCCAAGACCATTAAGTGAGACCTTTTTAAACACCACGTGCATCCTGCCTCCCTCCCATCCAAATTCTTCTCGCACTGGAACCCCGATACCAAGACATTCACAGTAAGTGACCTATCACTCTGTGTGTGCATACTAGCACATTATTCCACATGCACCTCACCTCCCTTCCATCCAAGTTCTTCTCACACTGGAACCCTGACACAAAGACCTTCACAGTAAGCAACACATTGATTGTAGCGGAGAGACCCCTTGAAACACATTGGCCCCTTCTTCGTGCATACTACCCTACCTCCCATCCAAGTTCTTCTCGCACTGGAACCCTGATACCAAGACCTTCACAGTAAGTAAAGCTATCACTGTGTGTGCATACTAGCACATTATTCCACGTGCATACTACCCTACCTTCCATCCAAGTTCTTCTCGCACTGGAACCCTGACACCAAGACCTTCACAGTAAGCAGCACATCATTCGACATGCAGCCTGCCTACCTCCCTTCCAAGCCTCTTCTCGCACGGGAACCCCGACACAAAGACCTTCACAGTAAGCAACACATTGATTGTAGCGGAGAGACCCCTTGAAACACATTGGCCCCTTCTTCGTGCATACTACCCTACCTCCCATCCAAGTTCTTCTCGCACTGGAACCCTGACACCAAGACCTTCACAGTATGTCACACACCACGAGTAACCTATCACTCTATGTGCGTGCATCCTACCCCCATCCAAGTTCTTCTCGCACGGGAACCCTGACACCAAGACCTTCACAGTAGGTAGCACATCCTTCTAGCTGAGTCCTCTACGTGCATCCCACCTACCTCCCATCCAAGTTCTTCTCGCACTGGAACCCTGACACCAAGACCTTCACAGTAAGCAACACATCCTTCTAGCTGAGTCCTCTACGTGCATCCCACCTACCTTCCATCCAAGTTCTTCTCACACTGGAACCCTGATACCAAGACGTTCACAGTAAGTAACACGTCGCTCTTGCACAGCTTTTCACAGTCAGTATTTTTTCACTCTATGTGCATGCATCCTCCTGCCTTCTCTCCAACGTAGTTGTGTGTGCACCCCCTATCTTCGTGACGACTTTTGAGTCGACTCAAATCTGCATGCATCCTACCTTCTCTCCAACGTCCTTCTGTGTGCATCCTACCTTCTCTCCAACGTCCTTCTGTGTGCATCCTACCTTCTCTCCAACGTCGTTCTGCATGCATCCTATCTTCTACCTTCGTCTCCCATCTTCTCCCTTCTCCTATCTTTCTCCCATCTTCTCCCCCCATGCAGCTCCAGCTTTAAGTCAAGCCCCGCCCAGTCGCCCCCACCAACCCCAACGCCCATGTGCTCCCCTTTTCCACCTCACGTCTGTTCGCTTCTCATTCTTTCTTCTTTTCTCTGTTCCTCTCCCTTTCCCCTTCCCCTTCTCCACCCATGCAGCTTCAGCTATACTTCAAGCCGCGCCCAGTGACCCCCACCTACTCGTCGTGCATTGTGTTGGGTTCTCAGCTGTCTTGTATCGACTGGGCTGCTCTCACTGCCTCGACTCAACTTCTTCTTGCCCTGTTTCACTCACCCTACTTTCCCCCCATGCAGCTCCAGCTATACTTCAAGCCCCGCCCAGTTGCCCCCACCAACCCCAACGCACATCTCCTCCCTTCCTCCATGCCTCCCCATCCCCACCCCCCTCCCCCTCCTCTCTCCTCCCGCCCTCCTCCTCCTACCGGCCCCTCTCCCCGCCCTCCTCCCCCCTCCTACCCTTCCTCCATGCCCCCTCCCCCTCCTCCCCCTTCCTCCATGCCTCCTCCTCCGCCCCCAAGCGGTTACGCCCCCCCTCCTCCCCCAAGCGGGTATGCTCCCCCTCCCCCTCCCCCTCAAGGGGGCCAGTATGGGGGGGGAGGCGGGTACATGCCTCCCCCTCCCCCGCCACAGCAGCAGGGGGGAGGTGGGGGGGGAATGGGGGCGTATGGGGGCGCGTATGGGGGGTATCCCCCTAGCAACCAGCCACAGGGATATGGGGGGGGAGCAGGGGGAACAGGGGGAGGAGGGGGGGGAGCAGGGGGAGGGGGAGCAGGGGGACCGCCAGTGTCCAGACCCCCACCCCCACCCCAGCAGCAGCAAGGGGGAATGTATTCTTCTGTTCCCCCGCCTCCCCCTGCTGCACCTGGGGGGTACCAGCCCCCCCCACCACCACCACCAACCCAGTAGATGTGCTTTGAGGGGGTAGGGGGTGGGGACTAGCAGCATGGGTGGTTGGAGGCAGCAAGGGGGAATGTATTCTGCTGTTCCCCCGCCCCCCCCTGCTGTACCCGGGGGGTACCAGCCCCCCCCCACCTCCACAGAATAAATGGTGTGCTTTGAGGGGGAGTGGAAATGGGAGTGTGGGCGTGGAAGTGGGAGGGGGAGTGGGAGTGGGAAGCAGCAGGAGTTATGGGGGACAGGAAGCATGTGGGGCCATGTGTTTTGTAGCACCTCTATTGATGAGAGCTTAGTAAGCTTTGTGTTGGATTCGTTCGACATGTTTATATTACAGTATACAAGAGACGAGCAGAAGGATATCCAAAGGAGTCCTTCAACATTAAAAGCTCATGCGTTTTCCCTACTTCAGCGTAACTAATGATTTCCGAATTTAGCCCAAAGAGCGTCTTACTCGTCTCGAATTCTCCTTGGCGCATCCTCAGGCTCGCATCGGTTGCCACAGAATTACGATCGCTCGGATCATGCCAGCAGGTCAGAAATTATCACAACTACTTCCCGTGGTCAGGAAACCAGCATGCCAGCGAGCTCGGATGTGTTCAGGCGATCAGATTTGCGAAAGCCCACTCTCGTTTTGTGGCTTACGTCGAACTAGTAACCAGACTCAGCTGTAACCGCCCGAAAAAATCACGTGGCCAGAAACCTCATCGGGCAGTGTCAGCCAGCTGCCCGTGGTACGCATCGCGCCAACTGAACAAGATGTCTGCCGCAGGTGTGGATTCTGTCACTTTTTGCAATGATGGGTCGGTGGGAGTGGGGATCCGCGGCATTGCATGATCGGTTGGAATTCTGTTGCGTGGTGTGTGCAGCTTTCACAGTTCGAATATGGTCGGCACTTGGGATTCAGCTGTTGTCAGACAACGGGTTACACACCACCTCGTGTACACCCTCGTGTATTTTGAGAATCTGGGGTTCTGGTGGACCACCCTTCCTGGGTGGGGTTTCGTTTTCAGCGAACCACATTGCACATGTCGGGTGTCACATCAGAACCTTGGCATGTGGGAGGAACCGGATCTAGCTCGATTGTGCCAGAACGAATTTTCAAAGTTCGTGGTTTGCTTGGCTACTGTTGCGAGATGCGGAAAACATGCACGTAGCTGTAAATCTCACGAACAGATGCGAAACCGTAACTAATCCCCTCCCCATCCCCCACTTCTCGCCTCAGTGGTTTCACCTTGCCCCTCAGGCCAAAAGTTTCGCTTTCTAAACCCAAACCTCATAACCAGAATGAATAAAAACCGAATCGAACGGTCGGAAAACGCTGGAACATAGCAAAGCCGTGACTCGAGCTGGATCGCAAATATCTTGCTGGTTCGGGCTTCATTGTATTCGTCGAAGTCTAAATATCCCTTTGGCTCGGTCTTCATCATGTCTGTTCGCACGAGCATCGCGGCTCGTAAGCACACGGTGCGGTTCCAAATCTCAACATTTGAATGTTGAACGAACTGGACAGCAAGGCGACTACACAGTCTATGATCTGAACCCCATAGGTACGAGGCAGGCAAACAGTCAATCATAAGATTTGACCATCTGTATTACTAATTCCACCACTGTAGCTCGCAAATGCTCGTATTTTCTTAGGACTACCAGCTAGCGGCGACGAAGTCATCACCCTTTTCAAGTTTGTCTATGCCTTCCATCCCCATGGCGTGTGAGCTGTCATTCTTCTTCACGTGTCGGGTGCGAAGGGCTGACGTCCCTGATAAAATGGCGTCGTTCGCGCGACCGTCGCGAACTACAATTACTAAAGGCAATTCATTCCAGCGACCACACGGTGTGTTTTTTTTCCGAAGTTGCGAAGACCTGCATGTCTTTAATCCCGCCGCTGTCTGCATCACTACAGCGTGGGTACTCCTCTTTACCGAGGAAAAGGGCAAAGCTTACGCCCGTGACAGTGCTCCAAACACTCGGTCACAACTTGTTACTTGTTACTAGGGTCGTCCTAACAGTATCGCTCCTGCTTTCCGCGCTTCCCATCTCGATACCTCCGCAGTATCCGCAATCTCTGCAATATTTCGATTTTCGACGCCTCGCGCCATCTGGAGATTAAATGGCTCCCTGCGCGAATCAAGACGGTCCGCTCGACGTCACCGCCTCCGGATTTGGCGCAACCGCCGGCGCCGGAGTTCCCGGATCCAAAAACCAAGAAGCGAAATACCAGAGAGCCAGTTACCACCACCAAGGTGATTTCGCGAGTCCCAATTTCGCCATTCCTCGTCACCGTGACGTGCCGACTCTCGCGCCGGCTCCCTCGCTCGAGAAGCAGATCCACCGCCGCAAATTGCGCTCGACTGCTGCTTCTACTAATACCTCCGCCAACTCTTCTGCCGCCGCCGCCGCTGCCGCCGCCACCGGTGCCACGTTCAGCGCCGGAGGGGCCGCAGGAGCCGCCGCGGCGCAGAGCAACATGAGAATGGCGATCGGGCGCAGTTATAGCGGCGCGGCCGCCTTTGAGTCGGCCGGAGACGCGGCGAACCGGACGCAGTCCAACCTTTCCGAGATGAAGCTGTATGATAACTGCGGGTCGGACTACAGCTTAATAATGAGGCGCAACTATCATACGCGTCAAGATGGCGCGCCGGCCTTGACGATAAACGGACGGAGACGGCCGTCTCTGTCCGTCAACCCCTCCGCTACGCCGCCAGCCGCCTCCGTCAATTCGAGCCGTCCGGCCGGAAGGCTGACGCGGCGCGGATCCGCGGATGTCGCGCTGCTGTGCGGCTCGAAAGGCGGACTTGAGTATCGCGGTGGTGCAACGGGCGGGGGTGATTATTGCAACTTTGAGTATGGCGGGCATGGTAATGGCGGACGGGTTTCCTCTACAAGTACTACCAGAGTGACTCGGAGCTCTTCTCTTTTGGATTTCGAACGCGACGTGACGACAAATTCCACAAGTGGGACATTCCCGGAGGCTAACGTAAACGGAAACGGAAACGGAAGCGGCTTTGGCTGTGGTGATCTCGCTGCTATCTGCTTGAACATGGAAGGTACGAGCCGGACTTGTATCGAACCTGCTTCTGAGGCGCCTCAAAATTACGAGCCTGGCTTGTATTGCCGAGCATTTTTAGCCTAAGCGAATCTGAAGTTCCGACTTCCCACATCTAACAACCTTTTTTTTTTGCCGTTCCCTTCCCCTGCATTCCTCCCCAACACAGACATTCAAGGCATGGCGGCACACAAGGATCTGAGCAACGTTCTCATCAGCAGCATCGACATCGTTTCGGTCCCCGAATCTCTCCTTCCCTGCAGCGCTTCTCCTCCTGCTGCAACCACATCCCGGACCACAACTGCATCTACAGCTTCTGCTACAGCTACAGCTACTGCTTCTGCTACAGTTGCTGCAACGGCTGCTACATCCCCTGCTGCTGCTGCTGCTGCTGAATACGTTCTGTGGGGCGTTCAATTCACTGACAGCCCTTTTTGGGTTTTTAGCTCTGCCAACGCTGCTACAGTTGCCAGCACTGCTGCAGGCCATGCTACAGCCGGTGCTGAGGGAAATGCCACAGTCACGGATAAAACCAGCAGGAGGGGTACAAACCGTCGCTCCCCTCTCTCTCCTCTCTCTCCTCACTCTCCTCCTCTTCATTCTCCTCCCTCTCACTCTCCTCCCATTCACTCTCCTCATTCTCAGCCCTCATCACCACATCAGCCCGCCTTCACATCGCCCTCATCACCACGTAATCCTGCCTTCACATCAGCTGCATGGCAGAGGCCTACAAGCCGGTTGTCACCCACTGGGGGAGGTGTACGTCCGTTAGTTCCCCGTTCAAGCAGCATTCCTGAGTTAAACACATCTGCTGCCGCTGCTGCTACCGGTGCTCCTTTTGCTGCTCCTTCTGCTGCTCTTTCTGCTGCTCGTGCCGCAGCTGTAGCAGCTACTTGTGCTGCAGCAGGCTCTGCATCCCCTATGCTATCAGCTGCTGCTTTTGCAGCCAATGCAGTACCCTCCGGTTGTGTCTTGGCTGCTGTCAGTGCGAGCACGTCTGCTATGAGTGCAAGCAGTGGGGCTTTATTGCGCCGCCCAGCTCACAACATCACCCCATATCAACCATCAATGGCTGGGATTCACCCATCAGCGGCTGAGGTTCACCAATCAGCGTCCAACATTCAGCCATTACTGGTTGACATTCTACCTGTTGGCAAAAAGCAGACACCTGACGTTCTACCTGGGCGACCAATCTTTGAGTTGACTCAAGAAATGCCTACCCGGCCTAGCCACCGTAGACGCAGGTCACTGTCTGATATCCCTTCCTCTGCAAGCTCTTCTGCCTTCTCCTCCCCTTTCACCTCGCTCTCCCCATCCTCCTCTGCTTCTCCTTCTCCCTCCTCCGTCTTCTCGCCTCGGTTCTCGCGGTTTGAGCCATCTCAGAAACTTTCACCTGAGCATTCGCCTGCAGACACCAGCCCAACCAATGGGGCAATCTGCAAGCCCGGTATTATCTCTAAGGAGGCTTCGGGTGTTCCGTCAGGTGTTGTGACTGCGGCAGCAGGCTCGGGGGCAGGTACGGGCGGTGCATCTAGCTTCGGCGTCTGGGTTGGAGGGTCAACCAGGCCCACATTTGCTGACGCGCTCGCTGCTTCTCGATTGAGTTCTGGGCTCAGACTGTTTCCAACAGAGAGCAACGAGAGTAAAGCTGCACTCGGAGGTTGTCAGAAGCAGGAAGACTCAGCAATATTGGATGAAGGTATCAAGCGGATTGGGTTCAATTATCAGGTGGATTTGGAGCAAATGCCCAAGTACATGACTGATGATGAGCTTAGCCACTTCATATTCAATGTGTAGGCTACAATTAATGAGGGTTCAATTATCAGGTGGATCCGGAGCAGATACCCAAGTACATGACAGATGAAGAGCTTAGCCACTTGATTTCTATGGAGTTGAAATGATATTTGACTGTTGAAAATGAAACACCACATGACATTATGTTTAGAAGCTTGTGCCCAGATACCCCGTTTGCTCTACGGCAGATATGTAACAACGAAGTGCATCTGCGACAGATATGTAACACAAGAAAGCTTGATATAATAACCTACAGCTCTACTCTGCTTCAAAGGGACGCTAATCTCTGCAAAAACGCATCTGCTGATCCTCCTACGGTACTCCTGCTTCAGCTTGTGCTGTTACAGTGATACAAACCATAATCATACATGGTTGAAGCGTGGATAAGTGCATGCATCAGCACATACTGTACCCGAAACTAGCCACTATCGAGCAGCGATAGCGCCTCAGTATAAAAAAAACCGCGTGGGAGGGGGCAGAAGAGATGAGATGATGTTCTCCCTCTCTCGCCCTATCAATTTATTCCGTTCGGAGTATTAGCGTTAACCCAGCTCATCCTCGCTATAGTGTCGATTCCCTAACGTCTCCATCGCTGCACCCCGTTACAGTGTCATTATCCCGCATAGAGTCACCTCTCGCACCCGTACTGTAGCTGATGACCTCCTCCTCGAAGGGTATGTACACTGGAGCTTGACTCGCTATCTTCACTACAGAGCTGACAGCTAGCGAACCTTGTAACGATTTCAGCACCACGGCTTCGTACTGGCTGGTAACCAGTTTCGACCACCGCTCGGCGACGCTCGCTTTCCGGCTTGGGGAGTGCGCGTGGGTGGCGTGGGTGGTGGTGGTAGCGGTGAAAACAACGTCGTAGCTGAAACTTTGGGAGTTGTAACCCGAGGAGCTGTGACCGTTCGAGGCGTGTTTTTCGGCGGCGTTAACGATTTCTAAATGCACAGCCGCGTCCTGGTGGGGGGAAACGGAAGGAGAGATCAGAAGGACGATAGAGAGAGTTAAGAGCAGGGCGACGAAGTGACGGCATGATGATGGAATGGTGAGGTAGGCAGAGAGCGAACTTAAGAGGGAAGGAGGAAGGCAGGAAAATATATTGTTGAGAATTTTTAAATTATACAAGTTGAGGAAGGAAGAGGGGAGGAAGATGGGATGGGTGGTGCGGAAGGGAGATGAAGACAGGAAGGAGGAATGGTGTCCAACAGAGTATGTTCAGAGTCTACGCATCTAGCGACTCGGCTTGCTACTATGCTCGGAGGCAATCCTATCGCTAGAGCCTCACCATCTTGGCATTCATGTCCGCGACCACGAATTCCGCAATCTGTGCCACCTCAGCACTGCGCGGGTCCACGATGACGTAACCTCCAGGAAGCAACACTCCTGTATGTTCCGGAAGCGTTACTGTAGATGCTAGCGGTAGTGTAGACTGCATTCTTGTATGGTCCGGAAACGACACTGTGGATTGCGCCTTGGGGAAGCTACAGCTCAGTAACGTCGTAATGGCTACGAGAACAGAAATGGCCCGAGGAAGTGCCATGGTGCGATGAAGATCGTCAAAATAGTCTACAGCAAATAGAGACGTCTTAGTTGCTAGCCAAAGCTCAGCCAGATAGGGATCCTAATCGGTCTATCTCAACGATGAGAATTTGGGAATCAGCGACTTCGGAGCGTTTAGCTACGGAGCATGCAGGAAAAGAGTCAATGACTAAATCCACTCGTGATAAGGTATACTACTATGTCGTCAAGGGACAGACAAAGCTATCGTATGTGCAGTTCGCTGAACCTGGTAATGCGGCGGAGGGAGTGTCAACTGAGCAGAAATTACTGAGAATCCTGATCGTTAAAAAGTGGTGAGCCGAAATACACGGGGTCGAGAACAGGAACATGACGGGATGTTGACGAATGACGGGCCACCACAACAACACCACACCATGGACGTGAGGTAAGGAATAATACACGCGAACGAAGGTTGGAAGTGACACAGCCTAGCCTACTTATTCTGACAGCCTCGGCAGCTGGGGCTAAACATACAATGCTGTTCTTCAGAAGCATATTTGTTCCTGTTATCATACTAAACCGTTTCGGAGATCCGAATACCGTCTAGAACCTATTGTTATCACCGTATTTGAACCATCCCTCCAAAACAATATTCCAATCGCAGGAATCCCACATCCCCGGGAATCCCATCCATCCATCCCCCCCAAGGAATCCCATCCATCCTGTTCTGTTGAGTCCAAGGGAATATTTTTCGATGACACGCCTTTCAAGCGTGACGGAATGCCAGGCTGACGCTGACGAGGCCCACGTCACCTGACGCCCAACGACAGCCAGTGCCACGGGCAGGAAATGTTTTACCATGCGGGTGGCGTTTGTCAGTCACGGTGCTGTCTGGTCACTTGTACATTTCCGAGACCATGGCGCGCTTTTTGCGGAGTTTTTGGGTGCCCCAGTGCTACAGTTGTTCCACAAAGTGAAATACACGTGCTGGCGGCGACGAGGCAGATTTATTGGTCCTGCTTCGGTTGACGGGCCGCGAGGTGAGCAGTTTGGGCCGCTAATTTGGGATTCCTTCCACCTTGCGGAATATGCGCACAAATTCGCTCGCTCGCCTGCGATGGAATCGGCGACGCCCTGCGACTTTGACATTGTGATCGTTACCAATCAGTCAGCATTCGGCTTCGAATTCAACCAATCAACACCCCATAATGTCGCTGAATTCATCTCCGTCATAACGTCGTCACACTCCCGTGCTGTCACATCACATTTACGATTGGCTTCGTGATTTATTGGCGAGGCTTATTTGAGACAATAATTCCATCACCAACAAGTTCTCACCCCTTGGATTATTGGGATCAAGTTTCTGTTGACCCCTGGTTCCCTTGTTGAGTTATCAAGTTTATCCACTAACTCATAACTATGAACAAGACCATGCTGAACTGTATTCATAGAGATGCACAACCATTCACAGGTAGGGTTAGTAAAACTACCATGGAAAAATACGTACCAACAAAAGAATCCACACCTCTGCGTCTTGCATAAATAGCATATGCGGCTACATTATCACGCTCTTTGAGCCAGCAAAGATTCTGCTGCCCTTCTACCAGAAGCCAACGCTCCATCGAATGTGGGGGAGCTCTTATGATCCCCGCACACATACACTCCATCCTTCCCCTCCACTTCCACTTCCCCAGAGAAGTCGGTGGGAGGCCTTTGCCCCGGTTGAGCAAACGGAATCCTGTATGCCCGGAGCATCTTCCAAGCCTCCACTTCCTCCTTCCCGAACCAGCCCGCCAGCTCCGTACGAACCCGAGCCTCGAGTTCAGCTTCGGTCCGGTCCTCATAGGCTCCTACAAGGGACACCGAAACCAGTGTTTTGCCAGGAGGAGCGTAGGAGGGGGACACTACGCTGGGGAAGCAGAGATTGTTGACAATGCCGCTACCGGAGCCGTTTAAAAAGAGGATGGGCTCGGAGACAGGGGGAGGGGAGTCTGACGCAAAGTAAAGGCAGACTGTGCTGCGGGGCTCTTGATTGGCCGTAGCAGAAGTGCTGCTAGCTGTGTCATCGCTGCTGCTGCTGCTGCTACTGCTGCTGCTGCTGTCGCTACCGCCCTCCCCTAGAAGCAACCTCTCAGCCACTGGTTGCTCCACTGCCACTATCACCCCTCCCTTGGCCAAAATCTTCTTCCCATCCTGCATCATCAGCAGGCTCGGCACACCCGAACCAGCTTCCGAACCTTTGCTATCAGCTTCGTCGGTGGGAACAGCAGGCGAGATGGAGGAGACGGGGGAGTTGAGGCGGATGGAGTGGGAGGGGAGGCGAGAGGCGAGGTGAGAGGCGAGGGCTCCGATGCCGGATGAGGGGAGGGTGTTGGGTGCGAGGGCGAGCATGCGAAGGACAAACTCCATCAACCTGTGAGGGAGAGAGGAGAGGGAGGAGCGTGTGGAGTATGTCAGTGGGAAAGAAGGCGAGGTGAGAGGCTAGGGCCCCGATTGCGGATGAGGGAAGGGTGTTGGGTGCGAGGGCGAACATGCGAAGAACAAACTCCATCAACCTGCGAAAAATGAAAAAATCACGGCCTCTCTGTAAGAAGAGCAGCAACAGCGAACCTAGAGGACGTGACTTTTGGAGACATCGCAAAAAAAGAACTACTATTTCCTTAGAAAAGGGTGGAATGGCGTACCTAGACGAAGTGCTGAGCTCGTTGTCGAAAAAGATCCCTCCGAGGAAGGGACGGAAGAAGCGGTCGATCATCTGGCATAGGAGAATCAATGGGGAAGAGGTCAAGCAGGAGAAGAGGGAAACAAGGGAAGAGGGAAGGAACATGCATTGTGAAGAAGAGCAAGTTGGCCCGTTGTGCTGAGCTCGTTGTCGAAAAATATCTTCCCGAGTAAGGGACGGAAGAAGCGGTCGATCATCTGGCATAGGAGGACCAATGGGGAAGAGGTCAAGCAGGAGGGAAGACCAGGAGAAGAGGGACACAAGGGAAGAGGCACACAAGGGAAGAGGGAAGGAACAGGCATTGTGAAGAGCAGGTTGGGTGAAAGTGCTTGGCTCGCTGTCGAAAGAAGATCCCTTGGAGAAAGGGACGGAAGAAGCGGTCGATCATCTGGCATAGGAGAAACAGAGGAAGAGAAAGAGAGGCGGTCAAACAGTCGAAGAGGGAAACGTGAGGGAAAAATGATAACTGAAACGTGAGGATACAAATGGAGACAAGAGGGCTAGGAAGAAAGGAAAAGCAGCATCACCAAGGGCTAAGAGAATACAGTCCCAACATATAGTTGAGTGCTGGAGATCGCTTTGATGCAGAGAAAAGAGTATTGTTGAGCCCACAGAGATAGAAAACCAAAGCACAAACCTCGTTGGAGAACCCTTGCTTCTTCAAAGCTTTTTTCGATGCTGCTCTCTGGTGCTGAGAGAATTCCTTTCACGGGAGTGGAAACAGCTTCCCTGTAGTGAGTAACGTTGCCTGCAACCCACATGGAAGGAAGAGAAAAGCAGCTCTGCTTACCTCGTTGGACACCCCCTGCTTCTTCAGAGCCTCTCCAATGCTGCTCTCCGGTGCTGAGGGAATTCCTTCCACGGGCGTGGAGACAGCTTTCAGGCGCAGCAGCCCCTCACGCAACTTATCAAGTTTGAACAAGACAGTTGGTACACGTATCATTGGAGAACCCTTGCTTCTTGAGTGCCTCCTCGATGCTGCTCTCTGGCGCTGAAAGAATGCCTTCTACGGGCGTGGACACGGCTTTCAGGCTGTGAATACAGTTCTCTCGAGCTCACACTGAAGGAAGAGAAGAGCAGTACGTACCTCATTGGAGAACCCTTGCTTCTTCAGCGCCTCTTCAATGCTGCTCTCTGGCGCTGAAAGAATGCCTTCTACGGGCGTGGACACGGCTTTCAGACGCAGCAGCCCCACACGCATTTTATCAAAGACAGAGCCGATGGGGTTGAAGAGGGAAGAGAGGCCGTCTGAGGTGTGGCGAAATGGGTCTGCCACCCTGGGAGGGGCGAGAGGGCGGGGAGGAGGGGAGAAGTGGAGAGGGTGGAATGAGAATTGGGAGGGAAAACGGAGCATGTGAGGCGCAGCAGGCAGTCCCACACGCAGTTTGTCAAAGACGGAGCCGATGGGGTTGAAGAGAGAGGCGAGGTCGTCTGAGGAGTGGCGGAAGCCCCACGTGTGAGCCTGTGGTCCATTATTCCACCTGTACCACCTCTTTCACGAGTACACTACCCTACTCACCCAGAAGCCCCACGTGTGAGCCTGTGGTCCATTATTCCACCTGTACCACCTCTTTCACGAGTACACTACCCTACTCACCCAGAAGCCCCACGTGTGAGCCTGTGGTCCATTATTCCACCTGTACCACCTCTTTCACGAGTACACTACCCTACTCACCCAGAATCCCCACGTGTGAGCCTGTGGTCCATTATTCCACCTGTACCACCTCTTTCACGAGTAGAAGGGCCTGAGGTTCGCCCTTCTATCTGAACTAACCCCACAAGCCTCCAAACACCCCCACGAGCCTCACCTGTGGAAGGAGCCTCCGAACCACTCGAGAGCGCCAGAGTAGAAGGGCCTGAGGTTCGCCCTTCTATCTGAACTAACCCCACAAGCCTCCAAACACCCCCACGAGCCTCACCTGTGGAAGGAGCCTCCGAACCACACAAGAGCGCCAGAGTAGAAGGGCCTGAGGTTCGCCCTTCTATCTGAACTAACCCCACAAGCCTCCAAACACCCCCACGAGCCTCACCTGTGGAAGGAGCCTCCAAACCACACGAGAGCGCCCGAGTAGAAGGGCCTGAGGTCCAACGCCTCGTAGTCCATCACCTGCTGTGCCTCGGGGTAGGCTGGAGGAGAAGGGAAAGAGAAGGGATGAGATGGACGGTAACAGGAAAGGAGGAAGGAAGAGAGTGGGAGGGCGCTAAAGGAGAGAATGGGGTGGGACAATGGGAGCGAGCGCCGGAATAGAGGGGCCTGAGGTCCAACGCCTCGTAGTCCATCACCTGCTGTGCCTCGGGTCGGGGTAGGCTGGAGTGGGTAGGAGGGAGGAGGGGTGGGTGGGGAATGCGGTAGAAGGAAGGGAAAGGGAAGACAGGGAGCGCCTGATTAGAAGGGCCTGAGGTCCAACGCCTCGTAGCCCATCACCTGCTGTGCCTCGGGGTAAGCTGGGGGGGTGGGGGAGAGGAGGGGTGGACGGGGGATAGAAGGAAGGGAGAGGGAAAACTGTGAAGGGAGAAGCGGGATGGGAACAGGGAGGGAGTGCCTGAATAGGAGGGCCTGAGGTCCAACGCCTCGTAGTCCAAAACTTGCTGTGCCTTCGGGTAAGCTGGGGGGGTGGGGGGGGTGGGCGGGGATGGGTGGAGGGGTGGAGGGATGAGATCGAAGGAAGGGAGAGGAACGCTAAGCACTGGAGTAGAAGGGCCTGAGGTCCAACGCCTCTTAGTCCAAAACTTGCTGTGCCTCGGGGTAGGCTGGGTGGGTGGGAGGGAGGATGGGAATACGACAGAAGTATGGGAGGAGAGTTGGGATGGGAGCTCTGGAATAGAAAGGCCTGAGGTCTAATGCCTCGTAGCCCAGTACTTGCTGTGCCTCGGGGTAGGCTGGAGGTGGGGAGCGGAGAGTAAACGGGTAAGAGGAATGAATTATAAGGCAGGGGAGTGACAAGAGGGGAGTAAACGCTGCTGCTGCTGTTGCTCTGTCCGTCTCACCTGAGGTTGCATGCCTGTCCGAGGTGTATGTATGAATGAAATCAAGCCCTCCTACCTGAGAGGAAGATCTGAAAGCCCCTGTCCAGGAGAATCCGTCCACTTCATCTGTGCACACGCGCCCTCCCACCCCGTCTGAACCCTCCAGCACCACACATGCTGTTGCTGCTGCTGCTGTCACCCAGACCAGACACCACGGAGAGGCTCACCTGAGAGGAAGATCTGAAAGCCCCTATCCATGAGGAACCCGTCCACTTCATCTGTGCGCACGCGCCCTCCCACCCCGTCTGAACCCTCCAGCACCACACAAGGCACCCCGGCTTCCTGCAGCGCTACCGCTGCCCGCAGCCCTGCGAGTCCCGCTCCAATGATCACCACATCCAGCTCCTCGGGGGGCTCTGTGGGTGTGGGATGGAAAGGGAAAGCAAAAGAGGGAGTGCAAGGCTGAACGCCCGTCCGCCACCTCCTGCGGCGCTACCGCTGCCCGCAGCCCCGCCAGCCCTGCTCCAATGATTACCACATCCAGCTCCTCGGGGGGCTCTGTGAGTGTGGGATGGAAAGGGAAAGCAAAAGAGGGAGTGCAAGGCTGAACGCCCGTCCGCCACCTCCTGCGGCGCTACCGCTGCCCGCAGCCCCGCCAGCCCTGCTCCAATGATTACCACATCCAGCTCCTCGGGGGGCTCTGTGGGTGTGGGATGGAAAGGGAAAGCAAAAGAGGGAGTGCAAGGCTGAACGCCCGTCCGCCACCTCCTGCGGCGCTACCGCTGCCCGCAGCCCCGCCAGCCCTGCTCCAATGATTACCACATCCAGCTCCTCGGGGGGCTCTGTGGGTGTGGAAGGTAAGGAAAGAGGGATTGAGAGAGGAAGTGCAAGGGTGAACGGCCGTCTGCCGCCTCCAGCACCACACACGCGACCCCCGCCTCCTGTAGAGCCACTGCTGGCCGCAGCCCTGCGAGTCCTGCTCCAATGATCACCACGTCCAGCTCCTCGGGGGGCTTTTCTAAGCACACCAACTGACCTTCCTTGACCACTTCTGGCTCCGGCTCAGCCACATTCTCTTCCGAAGCTCCCTCGCTCTCAACCTCCGAGCTCGTCTTCACCTCCGTCTCCCCCTTCTTTCCAAACAGACCGTCCAGATTCGGCATCTTCAGCCATCCGAAAATGCCCGGGCTTTCCGGGATCGCATCATTGGTCGCATTGTCGAAGCTCCCAGTGCTGCTCGCACGCACGACGCGTATGCAACGTGGCTGACGTGGCAGCTGAACGAAGGCGACTGCGCTGCGCAATGGTGGAGTACGCGCAGCGAGAGAGGCTCGTGCTGACGTGGCTGCGGAGCTTAGTGGCCTCGACACGTGGAGCTCTATCGCTGGGCTTATTGCTGCTGTTTGAGTGGCCGAGCAGGCAGCGCGAACGGCAGCCATGATTGCCGAGTGCGAGCGCGCGACGTAGCAGTCAGAGAAGGCACAAATGTCGGAGAGAAACGCTCTTCACAGCAAAATCTAGCCTACTCTTCTTCTCGTAATGCTGGCCTGAAATGCCGTGGTCAGTGCTTCTGACAGTTCCGGTGTCCCGTGCAACCGGCCCACCAATCAGGAATTGTGATGGGGTGGTGGAGAGCAGTTAAGGAAGGCGTTTTAGTGGTGGAAAGGTTTCTGACCATGATGTTGCCGTGTTCAAACACGAACCACTCGTCGGTTCAACTATCGGGATCTCCTCGTGGTCCCACAAGTGACGCGTGTCGCATTCTGGATGGATCTGCCACTTTCAAGATCTTGAGCTTCTAGCATTGTCTGTAGAGCAAACGTGTTATAGGGTGTACACACTTCGTAGAGGAGCTGGCTTTAGCGGATCAGCATGTAGCACCGTCAGGCACGAGCTCGCATGTGGCGTGCAGTTCACTGGCTGCCACTTCGCCCGCCACTATTGGTTGGGAGCTTCCAAAATCGTCCAAAACCACTGGAGTCGATTCCCATTTGCAGAAAATATGCCACGCAAGATTGTATTTTGGCTCACTCACTACACGCAGCGGGCACAAATTCCGAGGCCCAAATCCAATAACAAAGATTCCCGAAGCATGTCAATAACGAAGAGCTCGCCACCGCCTTTTGCCCCTCCGCCCTAGCAAGCGCGTTCACCTTTCTTCCGCTCCACTTTCCCCACTAATTCCCGCATTCCCTCACTTCCCTTCCCCCTTCTGATCAGACTCCCCGTTTCGCCCTTTCTTTCCCTTCCACCATCACAGCTCATTCCCCCGCCACAGAATCTCCCCCTCCCTTGTCTTTCCCCTCTCATGTCGTCCCACGCGTGTCTCGAATCAAACTGTCGGTCTAATATGGTGCACAATGGTCCAAGTCGGTACGACAATTTCACCGCTCTAAATCGTGAGGTAACGTATTGAACCGCTAAACACGTACGGTATTTGAATGGTCTCTCCTCTCCACCTTCCTCCCAGCATCCCTTCCAAACCGTGTTTCTGCTTCTTGGGGCCCACTCTTTTCCAGCAGCCTCTTACCCTAGTGCCTCCCGCACACAGCTTCTAGGTTCCTGCTTCTTGAAGGCTAGGCCTATCTTGAAGCTTGCTCGGCTTCTGGATCATCTTGATCCGGTTCCACCTTCGCGTGCGTGCTCTTAGACACGCGCTAGGGCTTGCATTAAGCGTAGCAGTCCTTAACACCCATCTCCTTTTCCTTAGCACAGAGAAATAGCCATGTGGAGGCAAGCCGGCGCTCGCCTGTCGCTGGTTGTTCGCCAGTCGCTTCAGCGCAGCCGCTCCGCCGCGCTCCCCGCATGGAATAGCCTCGTTGCGGAGAGTGCGCCAGTTGGCGCAGGCCGGAGCGTGACAGACAGGCTCGTTCACAGCGGCTGGCTCTCCCAGACTCCCTTCGCCCTCCGCGCAGCCTCCCCCGCAGGTTAGGGTTAGGTTAAAAAAACATAGCCAGATTCTTTCAGTTCAGATCTCTTCGTCTTAAGGTGGGTGCTATAAGACTACCGTGAGCTACGGCTATAGATCTCGACCTAATCCTAAAATTTCACTGGAATATCTGATTAAATTCATGAAATGCAGTGGCCACCAAGGACGTATCCGATGAGCTGGAGCATGCTACTGGACTTGAGAGGGAGGAGCTGGCTGCTGAGCTGGAGGTATGCCATTTTAGACATTAATAGAAAACAACATATGTACGATCCATTGTAGTAAGTCTCATATTTTGAGAGGGGGGGGCTGGCTGCTGAACCGGAGGTAGGATAAGGCTGATAATTATCCGGGGAAGTTGTCTTTTATTTTATTTTTTCCTGCCAGTGCGTTACATTTCAAGTTACGTGCTGTCTCTGCTGTACGTCAACCTCGTTTAGTTTTTTTGTTTGTTGTAGATTTCTTTTTCTTTTCGTTTTCCATGGGAAAAAAATAGGTTCTTGATCCTAGATCGGGCAAGTCTGCTCGTATTCTGTTTCGTCTCATTTTTTCTCACTCTGACGCTTATCGTTGCGAGAGATTTCTTAAAAGCTTGCTAGCCGTTTATGGTCTCCCTTCTCCACTGCAGGGAAAGGAGCGGTTTGAAGTGGAGCCTCCTCGCGGACCCTTCGGAACAGAGGTACTTCGGAGGAAGCTGTTATTGGCCTTTCGAGGAGTCCCCGTTTTCACCATTTCAGTGCTTCATTGAAAGGCTTACAATGACACAACGATTCGCTCCCTGGAATGCCCATCTTCCTTGATGTTGTACACACTAGCTCTCGCCGAACCTCTCGGCATTGCACGACAGAGTGTGGAACACCCTTGAGAAACTGATGGGATCCGCGCGTAGCTTACACAGTCGACCGTGCTCTTTTATTTCGCACGACATTTCATGATGCCTCGTCCGTGTATCGATTTTTTTTTTTTTTTTTTCCGTCTCGATCTTGCTCGTTTGGATCCAACCCCGACTGTGCTCAGGATGCTCCTGCGATTGTGGAGGCTCAGTTCGACGAGCGTCTCGTTGGCTGCTCTGGCGGGGTTGGCGGTGAGTGCTTCTACAAGTGACGGCCTTTTTAGGTCACCTGTTGACCCTGTTCATCCCTTCGCCCGCATCCCTTTTCGCACCGTCTTCCCCCACCCTCATCCTTCTCTCTTCACATTTAGAAGATGTGGTTTGATTTGAGCTGACTAGGGCCTCGCTTACCATTCGTCACCAAATGATTGACTCCGTCGTTCAACCCTTCTAAGGCGCCAAAACACTTGGGACTTAACGTCCAGCCGTTCTTTTGCTCAGTGCCCCGAACAGTGTTTGCATAACTTGACCGCCTGCCAACACCCGGACAGAGGAGCATCATGATGTGGGCCTGGTTCTAGCTCTCGAAGGACTCTAATCCCTCTGCATTCCATTCCTTGTCCCTCTCCATTTTCTTTCAACCTATCCGTTCTCCAAAACCGGATAGATGAGGATCACGATGTAGTTTGGTTCAATCTTTCGTGTAACTTTTTTCCATTTTTATCAACCCTTCCAACCCTTCCAACCCCTTTTTTCTGGTTTTCCTTTCACCCGGGCAGAGGAGGAGCATGATGTGGTGTGGTTCAAGCTCTCCAAGGACGCCAACCACTCCTGCAGCGTCTGCGACCAAGTCTTTAAGGTAACAATTGACGCATCCGTTGTTACAATGCGTGCAGCTCTGTTCGCATCAGTCCTGCATCGCCTTGAGCTCGATTCTGCTCCCTTGGGCTTCCTTTGTAGTATTCTTCTTCAAATTCTCTTCTTACGATGTTTTATAACACTATCGATTGTGCCTTCCTGCTGCATCACCTCTGGCGCAAAAACATTGTGAGAAGTTCTGCTGATGACCCGTTATTGTCTCGCTTGTCATGCTGCTGTCTCTGCCTGCAGCTGAAGGTCGTTGGTCCAGGAGGTATCCCAGGAGGCCACCACTGATCGGCTTGCTGGCTGATTGGCTGGTAACAAGGCACCTCGCGTGACATTGTACCGAGGTTACTTCTGAATCGTCTCACACAAGTCATCTTGTGACTTGCGCGGAGCAATGGGAAGATGAAGCAAAGGGGTTATATTGTGACGGCGATTTTTCTTTTGCATGTGGCCGAGCAGCAGTGGCAAGGACTGGGGAAAGGACTGGATTAGACGTCACACACACCTGCATATTCTTCTCCCTCACCTTGCCGTACGTCGTGTCTACTCCACCTCCTGCCATCAATCATTCCATTTTATCCTCGCCACCATCTTCGTCAAAATTCGTATCCATGAGCCTCTTCCATGTTCACCCCACAGGCCTCTGTTATAGGGTAGTAGGACTTATCAATAGAGTTTGTGAAACGTGTTGCTGTTGTAATGGAATATGCGGAACTGGTTTGAATGGTGTTCCTCTATGCATTCCTGTCCTGTTATGCTGACTGAACCCACCTCAAACTGAAATGCCACTGCACAAGCACTGCTGTAACTTTGTAAATATCAAACCGACAAGCCCTCTACGGACGGAACTGTTTGACCAGGCCGACGGTACGTCCGTCAACCTGTCTACACCTGCCCGTTGGTTAAAAATAAAATAACTAACCCCTTTCGGATGGCATGGCACGCCATCATGGGATATGGTCAGGGCCCAAAATAGGTTTAGGTCCACTCTTGCAAATCAGGGTACCAGGCCCCCCGTACCCTGACCCTTAGGGTAAAAATTTCTGTACCCTGATGCCAGCAGCCTAAAACAGCCAAAAAATCCTGTTACCCTTAGGGTAGAATTGTTGTTAGGCTGTTTGACAAACAGGAACGCCCTAAACCCGGGTGCGTTGGCGCAAATCTTGCTTAACGGACCAATTGTACGAGCGCGCGTGCAGCCGCACTGCTTCTACGTTGGCGCGCCAGTGGGCATACCGTACAAATGGTCCAGTGGGACCGTGGAGAATTTTGTCTTGGCGCGCACTGTGGCGGAATCCTCGGTTAAAAAAGATCCGGTAAAAGTGTAGTTGGGCCCGTACCCTGATACAGCCAGTGTAACCAAAATTGTTACCAGTGTAGTTTACAACGAATCCTGATTTCACTAGGGTAAAAATTTTCATAGCCTGATTTCACAAGGGTAACTGCCAAAAAGCGGCCTACCATCAGGGCAAAAAGGGTATTTTACCCTTGAAATTTGGGCCCTGGATATGGTTGATGCTTTCCCCATGAGGTGATGCTTTCCCCAAGGGACATAGGGTTTAGTTTTTTGCCCCGCACAGCTGACTGTGTGGGCTGGGCAATGTTGGTTGTACGTTGAAATTGTGACACGACTCTACGAGGAGTGTGTAGTGCAGTCGTCATAGCATTACAAATCTTGTTTTGTACAGCACACTCAAATGGACAATTACAAATACTATCCAAACATGATAAGTGATTGTAAGCGCAAGTTTGAAAATAGGGAGAGGGTGGGAGGGAAGCAAATGAAGATCTGAAAAATGCTAATGAGACTAGGTGGCAGGTCTGAAAGACCTGCGAGAATGTAAAGGAGGTTGTCTCCTTTACTGCAAACTCCTCTACTAGTCGAATCACAATCCTCAAATTTTGAAGTGAAACTTAAAAATTTTACATATTTACTCAGCCAAAGCACCAACAAGCAAGCAACAACACCAGTTCTGTTTGGTTGGTACATGACATACCATGGGTGAAGAATACTTGCTAGAGTGTATATGGCAACATAGCCCTTCTGTGCCGGGGATAGTCAGGGAACTTTGCAAGATAACGTTCATGGGTTTCTAGTGCAGATAGTGTCAGGTTGGAAACCTGCAGTACCCCAAATAATTAGGAATTAAGGGTGTATCACACAAGAGTGATGTAGAGGATATGAATGATATTACAGGAAACGGAAGAGAAACAGCAGAGGGGTACCCCAGACCACCCACCCACATAATGCAAATGTATAAGCGGGAGCGTGCTGTGTCTACCCCACTAGTTAAAGTGGGGTCAGGATAACTGAAGCTGAACTTACCACTAGCATCCATCATTCTCAACACCCAAACATAACCGAAGCTGAACTTACCACCCATGCGAACATGAGCACCAGCTTTGAGTGCGTATTAAGCCAACGAAGCACGGGCACAGCAAAGCATGCTCTTCTATACCAAAGCAGAAAGATAAGTATACTCACCACCCATGCAAACATGAGCACCAGTGTTGAGTCAAGCATCCTAGATCCAAGGGATAGGAGTAAACCCAAGAATGTTACCCGGTGGTTGTCGTGGTGGTGGTGGTGGTAACAGCACACTTGTCAGGAATCAAACATGGATCAAGCTCCACTTACCACCCATGCAAACATGAGCACCAGTGTTGAGTCAAGCATCCTAGATCCAAGTGATAGGAGTAAACCGAAGTATATCACCTGGTAGTGGGAGAGAGAGAGGAGTGAGATCGAGAGCGAGAGAGAGGATATAATAGACGCTGATTTGTTTCACTTGTCATCAAAGTTACAAGAGTAAGCCAAAGTATACCACATGTGTAAGAAACGACAACATAGGCAAAGGCTGACTGTACAGACTGTAACAGCTTTGATGAACAGTTACAGGCATTGCAGTTTTTTTTAAGCGCTTACTGGTTTTTACCAGTATTAGGAATACTTACAATCTCTGCTAAGTAGTGTGGGCATGAGACGTGAGTGAACCAGTCCCCCTGAGGTACGAAGTACCCTTTTTTGCCCCCTTGCCTCAAACTGGCCTGGAGGGGGACAGACAAGGAGGGAGAGGCAATGGAGGAATGGGACAGTAGTGTGGACAGAACTGGCATGAGACATGAGCGAACCAGTCCCCCTGGTGGATGAAATAGCCCTTCTTACCGCCTTGCCTCAAACTGGCCTGTGAGGAGGGTAGACAAGGCGGGAGGGGGCGGGAGGAAGGGGACAGTGGTGTGGACAGAACTGGCATGAGACATGAGCGAACCAGTCCCCCTGCCTGGTGGATGAAATAGCCCTTCTTACCGCCTTGCCTCACCAGGATGGCATGGCATTTGTGCTCGTGAAGGTTGGCCCATACGAATGCTGCTGCTCCAGCAACCATGAGACACCCTCAGTCTACACATACAAACACCGAATGCTTTGCTCCCGACTGTAACCCTCACCAGTATGGCATGGCAGTGGTGCTGGTGCAGATTGCCCCATGCAAACACGGCTGCTCCAACAACCATGAGGCACCCTCAGTCTACACATACAAACACCGAATGCTTTGCTCCACAGTGTAACCCTCACCAGGATGGCATGGCATCTGTGCTAGTGCAGATGGCCCCATGCGAACACAATTCACGGGACCTTGAGACACCTCAGGGTAGACATATCAACACCGAATGCTTTGCCCCACACTGTAACCCTCACCAGAATGGCATGGCATCTGTGCTGGTGCAGATTGCCCCATGCGAGCACAATTCACGGGACCTTGAGACACCTCAGGGTAGACATATCAACACCGAATGCTTTGCTCCACAGTGTAACCCTCACCAGAATGGCATGGCATCTGTGCTGGTGAAGGTTGCCCCATGCGAACACTCAATGGAATGCGAAGCACTTGGTGGTGGTGCAGTGCGGTACATCAAGATGCACAGTGGCGCTCACCAGAATGCTATGGCATCAGTGCTGGTGGATATTGCTCCACGCGGATACCATTGAAAGTGGTGCAGTGCGGTACACCAAGATGCACAGTGGCGCTCACCAGAATAGCATGGCATCTGTGCTGGTGAAGGTTGCCCCATGCGAACACTGCTGCTCCAGCAATAAGGCATGCTACGCTCGTGATGTCAGCAGCAGCCATGCTTGCTATTCTCGTGACGTCAGCAGGCAGAGCAGGACGACCAGCGAAGAAGAATGAGAGCGGAGCAGCAACGTAGTAGCTGGTGGTGGGGTTGGGGGAGGGGGGCAGCGAGCGGGGAAATAGTGATGGTTATGAAAGGATGGTGATGAAAGGATGGCGATGAACGAATAGGGGCTTGGGAGGGCAACTGGCGAAGAAGAAGGAGAGCGGAGCAGCAACGTAGTAGCTGGTGGTGGGGTTGGGGGAGGGGGGCAGCAAGCGGGGAAATAGTGATGGTGATGAAAGGATGGTGATGAAAGGATGGCGATGAACGAATAGGGGCTTGGGAGGGCAACTGGCGAAGAAGGAGAGCAGAGCAGCAACGTACTAGCTGGTGGTGGGGTTGGGGGAGGGAGGGGGGGAGAAGAGGATGGTGGATGGGGTGGGGAGGAGGTAGGCAGGACGTGCATGCGGGAGGAGGGTGGGGAGGAGGGTGGGGAGGAGGGTGGGGAGGAGGGTGGGGAGGAGGGTGGGGAGGAGGAAGAAATGGCGGTGGACTCCCACAGGCGCCCGGTGAGTTGCACATGGAAGAGGAGGAGGTGACTTTTGAGTCGACTCAAAAGTCACTCCCACAGGCGCCTGGTGTGATGCTGCACATGTAAGAGGAGCGACTGGAGTGGTGCTCGGTGCAGCAGAAGCTGTTTGCATTTGCACCCCCACAGCTGCCTGCCAGGAGAGGCGCTTGCCATGATGGAGTGACGAGATGTAGAGACGTGCACTCACCAGAGGCCGAGCAGGTAGGCAGAGATATGCATGTGAGACGAGGGTGGGGAGGAGGAGAGAGCAGTGGACTCCCACAGCGGTTCAGAAGGGAGGGATGGACAGTCACTCACCAGAGGCCGAGGAGGTAGGCAGAGACGTGCCATGTGGGACGATGCTAGGGAGACAGAGAGAGCAGTGGATTCCCACAGCGGTTCAGAAGGGAGGGATGGACAGTCACTCACCATAGGCTGAAGAGGTATGAGGCGAGCCATGTGCACACAGCACTCACCAGAGGCCGAGGAGGTAGGCTGAGACGTGCATGTGGGACGATGCTGGGGAGACAGAGAGGGCAGTGGACTCCCACAACCGTCCAGAAGGGAGTAAGAGACAGTCACTCACGATAGGCTAATGAGGTATGATGAGACGAGCCACGTGCACACAGCACTCACCAGAGGCCGAGGAGATAGGCAGAGACGTGCATGTGAGACGATGTTGGGGATACAGAGAGGGTGGTGGCCTCCCACAGTCGCCTGGAGAGATGCAGATGGAAGAGGAGCGACTGGAGTGGCACTCCGTGGAGCACTCGGTGCAGCAGAAGCTGTAATGCTTGAATGCTGCTGGTGGGTCGAGTTTTGAGTCGACTCAAAACTCGATGCAGCAGAAGCTGTACAGCTTGAATGCTGCTGGTGGCTGTGGTGGTTGGTGTGCGTGTTATGGTGCTTTCGCTGCTGCTGTCATTGCTGCTGGTATCGCGGCTGCTGCTGAGAGCACTGAAGGTCATAGGGACTTCGGTATTGAGGATTGCAGTGAGGTGGGAGGGAGCAGAGAGGGCGACGGCGAGGAGAAACAGGTTGACGGAGAATCCAACAATGTAGAAGTGGGAGAAGAAACGGTGAGGCACTGTCATGTGCTGGCAGGAATGGTTTGGGCAGGAAGGGGGAGCGAAAAAGGAGAAGGAGAGGGAGAGGGAGAGGGGGGAGAGAATGAGAGCGAGGAGTGCAAGGTTGAAGGAGAATCCAACAACGTAGAAGTGGGAGAAAAGGCGGTGAGGCACTGTCATGTGCTGGCAGGGGTTGGGGGTGGAGGGGGAGAGAAGAAAGAGGGAGCAGCGAGGGCGAGGGCGAGGAGCAAAAGGTTAAAGGCGAATCCGACCATGTAGAAGTGGGAGAGCCAGCGATGGGGAACAGTCATGTGCTGGCAGCGGGTGGGGAAAAAGAGGGGGGGAAGAAGAGGGCGCAGTGAGGCCGAGGCGAGGGCGAGGAGCAAAAGGTTAAAGGTGAATCCGAGGATGTAGAAGTGGGAGAGCCAGCGATGAGGCACTGTTATGAGAACCAGCGAGAGGAGGTGGGGGTGGAGGGGGAGAGGAAGGAGACGGAGAGGGAGAGAAGGAGCAGCAGTCATGCACACCACAGGGTTGCAGGCCAATCCGACCATCGATATGGGAGAGATGGGAGAAGAACCACCGATGGGGAACCATCACGTGCTGGGAGAGATGTTGTGGGATATTTCAGGCGTGATTAGAGCTACTTTGGGTGATTCCTCGTCCGGCTAGAATATGAGTTTTGAAGCGCCTCGAAAACATCTCAACTCACACGCAGGGAGGCAAATTTCGATGACGCGGGGGATTTCACGGGTTTGCTGGTCGGGCCGCTTTGGGTGATTCCTCGTCTGGCTAGAATTAGAGGTTTGAGGCAACTCGAAAGTAAAACCAACCCAACTCACCCGCAGAGAGGCGAATTTCGATGACGTGGGGGATTTCACGGTGTTGCTGATAGAGCCACTTTGGGTGATTCCTCGACCGGCTAGAATATGAGTTTTGAGGCGACTCAAAACCAACTCAACTCACATGCAGAGAGGCGAATATCGATGGCGCGGGGGACTTTCCGGGTTTACTGGTCGAGCCGCTTTGGGTGATTCCCGCGACTGGCTGGAATTCCAGTATTGAGGCGACTTAGAACCAACTCAACTCACACGCATAGAGGCGAATCTCGATGACGCGGGGGATTTCACTGGTTTGCTGCTGGAGCCGCTTTGGGTGATTCCTCGACCGGCTAGAATTCGCATGAGATGGCGGAGAGGGGTAAGCGCGGGAAGAGGCAAGAGCGCGAGGATGACTGGGAGAGCGATTATTGCCCAGAAGCAGCGGAGGAGGGAAATTACGGCGTCGCGGAGCGTCAGACTTGCTACGTCAGCAGCAGCGTTTATCGGTGACATGATTTTCTGAATCCGCGAGGAGAATAAAGCGCAACTGCGCTAACTCAAAGCGATTTGCCAGTATGCGCTTGGCCGATCCGTTATGCGCGTGCTCCGCAGCGCGTGAGGAAGCGTGGAATGCGAATAAGCGGTGTGCTGCGCAGCACGCGCGCTCTGGACACGGAAAGGCGTGAGCGAGAAAGAGAGGGAGAGAAGTGGAAGGTGGACGTAAATGATAGCTCACTGGCGATGACGTTGAGAGGAAGAGAATCTAAGAGCTACCGTAGCTCACTGACATATGTGTTCACGCATCGGGCGGGAGGGGATTCCATGGATTCTGCGAATTCAAAGATTCGAGGAGTGTCTGTCATGAGTTCAGATTCGCTCATAGGCCACCACACTAAACCCTTCTATTGTTCGTCAAACGACGCTATAAAACCTTTTGAACCGCATTAAAGTGACAGAGAACAACCTGCTTTTCCCAGGCATCCACGATGTCTCTCCCAATCTTCTGCGACAGCTGTCACGAATTCGTGAGACTCAGTGCGATTGTCGTACAGAGCGTGGTAACATTTCGCGGCTTCAGGAGTTGGCTGATGCTGTTTCTGGCATTGTTTTCCGTAGTGATGAGAGCTTGGTTAGCTTCTGTCACCCCACTAAACCGCTCTCAAATCTAAGCGAAACTACTCCCCTAAACTCCGTGAGGAAACGCCCTGAACCGCAGAAGTGTGGGAGATGTCAATATCATTCTTCTCTGGCAAGAGCGCCAATCCTCGGATTCATCGTTCTTCCTGTCACTTCTCATCCATGGCTGCTGAAACTGGTCAACGTTCATCTCGCGGTTGTGCGATCCACTTGATATGCCAATCATCAAGTTCCTTAATTTCCGCGTTTTGTAAAATGGTGGTCTGAACGACGCATATCTTTCTCGAATTCACCAAGATTATGTCCGGAGCATTCGGAGATGGAGTCGAGGAGCCTGTATGTCCGCTCACGCCGTTCCCCATGAAAAAATCGAAAGTTTGCGTTTTCTCCGTTTCCACGAGTCCACTTTATCCAAAAATCACGACTCGGAAACGACGTGGCCTAGCGCCTCCATGCCGCTTGCCGTTGGCCTTTTAATTAAATATGGAATTCACTGGTTCAGTCTCATACACACCGGCTTTCTTTCCGTCACTTATCGAGCCTCGATTTTATTCCGACGTGCCCCGTCTAATTCCTCGGAATGGCTCCTTCATTTTTAAGCTGCGCGGCAGTTCTTCATATTCTCCTTATCATTCTTCAGTACGTTCTCAGTCCGTCCTGTTGTCTTAGAAAGAAGCATTCGGCTTACGCGAGATTTCACTCTGTAATTTCGTATGACGGCTCACTCCTTTCCTCTCTACACCTTCCCTGTCGTTTCCCAGTCTCAATGTGAGCGTGCAAGCACGGAGCATGCCATCTCGTGATGCTCCCCGAGACCTTCAACCAGATGCAAATTGCCATCATAGTTCATCAGTACCCGGGTCTTTATCCCAGTTCAAGCCTTCTTCCGGAAAGCTGACTGCCACCAGCGTGAGTTTTTCGTGTTGCACAATTTGATGCTGTCGGATATAGGCAGCCCAAGTGGGTGGTGGGACAGTGGATGGGGAACGGCCGTCTAGTTTATTCCCTTTTGTAGACGTATTATGAGATTTCGTATTCTAACTGGTTACTCCCTTTTTGCAGACCCTTCAACGGCCTTCGCGGCATCCTTGGAAGCGCCTGGCTACCTCATGGAAATTGATGTTCAGTGACCAGCAGCTTCATGAATCACAACTGAACGCTGGTATCAGAAACACTGAAGCAGGAGATGGCATTGGACTCGCATATACTTCACTTAAGCAGATGATTCCATTGTGGAAATTGGTATCCAGAAAGCAAGTCCTTGGAGGGTCAGGAGCCACATTCTTTGAGCAGGACGCCAATGCTGGGAGCATCAACAACCTGGGAGTTACCAACAGTCAGAGAAGCAGAGTGGGAGATGGCATGGGTTATGCTTCAAGCTTTCAGGGCAACGCAATGTCCCAACAAAGTGCAACGAATCCCACACTCCCCACTGTGTATGTTGGGTCTAGTGTCTCCACTACCGCTGCAACAAATGGGGTAGGGTCATCATTTCCTTTTGCAGGGTTGGGAACAACTGGTAATGTGTTTGTTGGCGTGGATGGTCAGTTGATTCCAACAGGTGCAAGCATTGGAGATTGATAAGCAACTGTATTGGAGATTGTTAGAGAATTCATGTTGACCTATGATATTGTAATTGACACTGTACTACAATACAATACATCACCGTACAACGACATTCTACCCCCTACACATTCTTTTACAATGACCTGCCAGTTCCCGGTGGCTTCTGTAGCTTACTGTAAGCTCCCGGATATAAGACCCTAGGGTCCTATGTAAAATTCATTGAAAGAAATGGGGGGGGGGGGGGGGGGGGGGGTCTTGATATGGACGTGTATTTTAAATGTGTATTCAAATGCCTCATTGATCTGGATGCTTGTTATTTTGTTTTTATCCTCGATAGGTCCGCGGATGTGAGTATTCGCGATATAGGTACATCACAATGAAATCTGGTTGTGACCTCCTAATTGAAATCTGGCTGTGCCCATAACATTGAAATCTGGCTGTTTTTTTCCCCCATATTGCTACTGTTTTCATGAACAGTCAACCCAGTGTGGGATTAGTAGGCCTGAATCTGTGTTCACACCCTTATCACAAGTTTAGGGGGGGTCTTGTAATGTTTACCCCTCTAGGGGGGGGTATAGTGAAAACCTGCCAAAATAAAAGACCCACCCCTGTATTACAGACCCGGGGGTCTTGTATTCCGGGGGGTCTTATATCCGGGAGCTTACGGTAAGACCTGTAGAATGCCAGCAAACAAATAATTTGCTATCACTGGTGCCACCTCAGCTTCTTCAGCAACTTTCACTGAAGCCAGAGACCATTGACCAACTCATGGCATCCTCTCCTCTCCTTCTCACCTCCCCATATTGTGGCGGTTGCTGCTACTGCAGTTCCAGCCATTATT